GGTGCAGCTGAAGCCCGCGTGGCCAAAGGGCTACATGAGAGTTCTCAAGCCGAGACTGCGCTGCAAGTGTTTGACGCTGCTGTCGCTGCCGCCAAAAGGGGTCTGTAATAGCGCCAGGAAATGAGGATCTCTCGTCTTGTTTGTTAACCGCCGAAAGAGGTCTGGCTGCTAAAACGAAAGTGATCAAGTGCAAGCCAGAGACGTTGGAGTGCTGGGGTCGCGTCATGTTCAAGGGCGCTGTGCGCGTGGTGGATCCAGAAGGCGGAGGCGATTTTGTGTCGTTGGCAGACGCCATAAGTCAATCACAGCGTCGACCGCCCGGGAACGCCGACGGTTGGACCCTCATCTTACGTCCGGCCACGTATGAGATTTCAGCTGAACTCTGTGGAGACGTGAGCCTTCAGCTTCTAGGCGAACGCTCGAGTGTTCTCTCAGAAAACGACTCAAAACGGAATGAGCCGGCGGTGAAGCTGCGGTGTGAGCCCACCACACTGACGCAGGGCGAGTTTCCGCCAGATAGTGTAGTTTTGTCGGCCAAGGGTGATGGTTCGGCTCTTTTCTTGGAAGATATGAGCCTTTCTTTGGCAAAGGAGTCCTCGGCCATGGCTAATTGCTTGCGGAGCACTGAAGGCGCCTCCGTGACGGCCACCGGCTGCGTCTTCCACTCGCACAACTCCCCTGCTGTTGGCGTCTGGCAGTCTATGTCACGATGCACCCTCCAGAGCTGTATCTTCCAGCCCCAAACGTCCGCCGCCGTGCTCGTGGGCGGAGACACTTCGAGCCTCGTGATGAAGAAATGCAGGGTCAAGAGGTGTGTCATGGCCGCCATCGAGGTTAGAGGCCGCGACTGCACCGCCCGGCTCACCGACTGCAGCTTCACCCACTGTCAGAGTCAGGCTGTTGTGGGATATGGCTCCGCGAACCTTTTGGAGATGGTGCGGTGCGAGGTCACAAGCTCGGGCAGGTTTGGGACGCATTCGTGCCTCCTCCTTGCCAACCGAGCCACGATGCTACGCGACTGCAAGTTTGACCACAACCGCTCGGACGTGGTCGTTATGCAGGGCTCCGCCGAGTCGGACCATTCGGCGTTCCTGTCGATGGATGGGTGTGCGGTCACAAGGAACAGCGGAACCGGGGTGATCTTTGGGATGAGTCCCTGTCACGGCATCCTGTCGCGAAACGTCATCTCCGACAGCTCAGGTTCCGGTATCAATTGCTTGGCTGTTGCGGTGGGGAAGAAGGTCACACTCCGTGACAATCGGATAGAAAGGAACGGGCCCGGTCATGGGTTCGATGTGATTACTGTGAAAGGGTTGGAGGAAAGGGTTGTCATGATGGGAGTCAATAATGTGCCTGAGAGACCAACAACCCTTCAACTTCCCGCCAGTTTGTTGAGGCAATATCAATCGTGCACGTCAGTCGAGATGTCATAGCGTAAGGGGTTGCAAAACACCTTCGTCGCACTGCAATTACTCGGCCGATTCTTACAAGGCATGGATGGGGTGCCCCTAAAGTTGAACGCAGCAGACAACTCTTGGCATCGCGCCCGAGCCCTACTCGAAGATTATCGGCAGGCACAGCGTTGATTTTCGATGGCGTACAATGGGGAGGAATGACTTCTCCAGAAGGCCGTGAAGCTAGTCCGCGGTCTATGAGTACCAAGCTGGAAGAGGTGTGATACAAACAGCGACTCGTTTGAGTGCCTTTCCTGCATTTGCTCGACTTGCTGGGCTTTGCTTCTCAAGAGGAGCATATCGCGTCGTATGGTGGGGATGTTCTCCACGTCAAGAGTTCCGCGGGTTGTTTTTCAGCACCTTGATAATATATGACAAATGAATCCAATCTTTGACAGGGTGGTTTCCAAATACACTTTGTTCATAATCTATTCAGAATGCCCCTTGGCTATCGTTTTTGCCCATAATAAGATCAGACAACAAAGAGTTTCAACTTGACAAGTGGGCGCTTTCGGACGCGTAGCTTGTACGCAGCGATGACCCGTACCCTAATCTTAGTGCATACTGAAATCCACTGCATTCGACCTGTTTGCGTAGAGAACCAGTAACAGTCTTCTTGTTGAAGCGGGCGGCTTTGGTAGCATCCCTGTGGGCATATTGATGGGGACAGCATGACGACTCTTTGAGCTGGTTTGCGAAGTATCTCAGATTCACCTAACAAAGCACGTAAGGTGCAAAACTTTAGTGCGCCCTTTGATGGTCCGTGCACTTCCGTCTCGTTCAACAGTATTGTGCTACCATATCCAGGGGGGACGAACGAAGCTTTTTGCCTTAAACCTCGCGCCTTCTCTTCTGGCTTGCTGGTGCTTGATGTATCCTACGGAAGCTCAACGTGTTGGGAGTCAAGTTGGACTTCTACAGTCCCGCCATACCAGGGATATTATTAAAGAGATTCAAAGAATACTCAGGAGATGGTGGCTCGGCCACCTACCAAGGTTTAATATCCATTGAAGTAGTTCTGCGCCGCTCACATAATGTCCGCGCACTCTTTTTGTTTGCGCGAGATGAGTTGTAAACACCTTCTTGCGAGATTTCCGTAATTCATAAAGTTTCTCAAAGCGTCTGCCAAGAAATGGTTCCAAATGGTGAAGAGGTAAAAGGTCTTGAGCGAGTCCCTCAATCCAAAGAGGCCCTCTAGCTGAATAGGCTTCTCCTCCGCAGGCTCCTGCTCGATTCCTTCCAGATTATTCATAATTTTTTCCAAAATGAGGACCTTCGAACCATCTGTCTTCAGACAACTAACCCCCTTGTTCCTCCGTCTGTCATATCAGCGACGTGAGATAGGAATGCTACCTTTCTTGTCTCATTCCATTTCACCGTTGGAACCTTCCCCCGTCTCTCTCCCCCATTGGACGCAGAGGAGAAGATTCCCATTCCGTCGTCAGTCATTCAAATTCCATTCTGTCGCACCTAGGTTTCCATTCGCTGTCGTTGGGAAGAATTGCTTCTACACGGAATATGGCGATGACACTACAGCGTATTCTATTGCATGGGAAATGCCCACGCTCACTTAGTCAATCCCAGAACCCTTCGCCAGCCCGTCACCGGAGTAACTCTTGTGACTTGCGCTACTCCCAAGGATTGGCGCTGACATGTGAAAGACCCTTTCTGATCTTGTTGAAACAAGGACCACACCTATAGTATTGACAATGGCTTTCCACAACTGGCTGACAAATAATGTTTACACTTCGCTCTCGCAGACCATCAGACATCGTCGTAGGAAGCGCCCCCGCGGTCATCCAGCGCCATGCTCACGTCGCGAGAGTTGCACAATACCAGGGTGTAATTATTACCGCAGAGACAGTGAGCGAATGAATCACAGGTATTGCAGTTTACTTAGGAATCTGTAGTATGGTCAGCAGGAAAATCATGGTTGCGTCTACCCCACCAAAGTTGCTGTTACCCTTGCCAATTGTGTTCCAGAGGACGGCATGAACGATAGAGATGAAACATAATTCCTGAAATGATATGGATCTACTCTCTATGAAATCTGCATTTTCGCAATGTAAAAGTCACAATATTCTGCAGTCAGCGAGAGCGTCGAAGTTAAAAGGGACGATCGGGACATGCTTACGGTATCTGCTGCGCATGCATTCGAATGCACATTTTTTATCAGATGATGTAAAACTGCTTGCACTGGTTGCAGCAAATCGGCGAACAAACCCCATTTGCTCCAACCACCATGCCCCCCAAGAAGGGAAGTAAGAAGAAGGGAAATAAGGATGCCTGGAACGCAGACGACGATAAGAAATATGACTTGAAAGCTGTGGAAGACGCGGACGTCATAGATAGCACGTCAAAGAGTGCAAAGAAGAAGAGTTCAAAGACGTCTGGGAGGCCAGTTACGGCGTCAGATAATGAGGAGGATAGTGTGCTGATTGAGACAGGTGTTGAGCAGGACACAGATGCGACGGAGGACAGCCGGAAAAGAGGCAAACGACGCGAAAAGAAGTCGATCTCACAGAACGCATTTGACTTGCTTGAGCAAGCAGATCAGGACGAAGACTCAGAGGCGAATGTCGATATGGATACGCTGGGAGGAAATTTCAGTGTTTTGACGGTGGGAGATGATGACGAACGTGGTAGCGACGCATCGGATGTTGGGAGGGGAAAGAGCGGGAAATCGTCTAGCCGCTCAAAAAGGGAGAAGAAAGCAAAGGCCGCAAATGCATCTGGCGCAAATTCTGCAGACGATGGCGAGGCAAACGAGGAGGATAAGAAAGAGAAGAAGGCTCGTAAAAGCCGAGAGGAACGTAAGAAGGAAAAAGCTGGAAGAAAAAAGAACAAAGAAGTCGGTGTGGATGGCGACGGCCAGGACGAAGACATTGCACCGGAAACTACTGTGGATGATGATCGAAGGAGCACCCCTGGCGCATATAGCTATGCTTCGGGTCAACCACTAGGTCCTGAGGGTACAAATCCTAGCGACGCCATTGCCGTCACTGGAAACCTCTTGTCCCCACCAAATTCTCGTGATCTGCAAGTGGACAAACTTACTGTACAAGCTTTTGGAAAGCTACTAATCAAGGAATCAGAGCTGTCCCTAATCAACGGTCGTAGATATGGACTAATAGCTCCAAATGGGTCTGGTAAATCCACACTCTTACACGCAATAGCGTGTGGACTGGTGCCAATGCCCAAGTCATTGGACGTGTACCTGTTGGATCGTGAGTTTGCTGCTACTGAGATGACATCAATAGAAGCCGTACTTGAAATCACCCGGCGAGAACACCAACACCTGATGGACGAAATGACGGAGCTCCTCGGAGATCCCGATAAGCATGCCGTAAGATTGGACTACATTCAAACGAGGCTTGGAGAACTTGAGGCAGAAGGCTCCGAAAGACGCGCATTGGATATTCTAAAAGGTCTAGGTTTCTCTGAGGACCTTATCCAAACAAAGACGAAGGATTTGTCCGGTGGATGGCGAATGAGGATTTCTCTGGCTCGAATTCTTTTTGTGAAACCCACCCTGATGCTTCTAGATGAACCAACCAATCATTTGGATCTCGAAGCAGTAGTCTGGCTGGAGGAATATTTGCTTCACAATCTCGAAGGTAGAGTGACAGATAATAAAGATTGACTACGCACCTAGCTGCCATCTGACTGACCACCGACCATTCGAAGGCCACACGGTTGTCATGACCTCGCACTCCCAAGATACACTTAACGAAGTGTGTACCGACATTATCCACCTTTACCATCAGCATTTGGATCATTACCCCGGAAATTATAATACTTTCACTAAAGTCCGAGCGGAGAAGGACGTGTTGCTTAACAAGCGAGCGAGAGCGCAGGAAAAGCAGATGGCAAAGCTGAAGGAAAATTTGAGCAAAACAGGATCAAAGCAGCAAGCCCAGGCGAAAAATCGCGTAAAAGCTATGGAAAAGAGGCAGGAGAAGGACAAAGAGAAGAACAAGGCTTTGGAAGAAGAATTGATTTGGGACAAGCCTCTTACACTTAAATTCTCGGAATGTGGACGAGGATTACCTCCGCCCGTCCTGAAATTTCGTGATGTGAACTTCGGGTATCCCGGAGGTCGTCAGCTGTTTCATGATCTCAATTTTGGAATTGATCTCGATTCGCGGATCGCCTTGGTTGGTCCCAACGGAGCAGGCAAATCGACTCTCATCAAGCTGATGTTGGGGGAATTGCAACCTACTCAGGGCACCGTTACAAGGAACCATCACCTCAGAATTGCACAATTTCACCAACACATGGGCGATCAGCTGGACATGGACCAGAGTGCAGTACAGTGGTTGTGTTCCCAGTTTAAAGAGTGGCGCGACCAAGACATGAGACGGGAGGTTGGCAAATATGGTCTAACGGGGAAAAGCCAGGTCATTCCCATGCGGCAGTTGAGCGATGGTCAACGACGGCGGGTTATCTTTGCATACTTGGGCCTGAAAACTCCACACCTTTTCTTGATGGATGAGCCAACGAACGCACTGGATATTGAGACAATCGATGCACTTGCAGAAGCGATTAATGACTATGACGGTGGGGTTGTATTCATCACTCACGTAAGTTTCACTCGCCAAGCGTATGTTGACATCGCACGTCATCACTTACTGGCTATAATATAGGACTTTCGCCTCATTGATCAAGTTGCAAAGGAGATCTGGATTGTCCGAGATGGGGAGGTAGAAGAGTTTGATGGTGATATCCGGGATTACAAAGATATGCTCAAAGCTAAGTATGCGGAGGAGCGAGCGGCAAATGAGTAGAGCAGCTTTTATTTATGTTATGCTATGGGGGGCGCGTGGCAGCCTAGATATATAGGCATGATAGACGTATCCGAGTTCAGTGAGCATATCCTATCACAGCTTTTTGTTCATATATAAAACTCAAACATGTGTGATCATCCAAGCAGCCAATATCTAATCAATCTCGACTTCAACGACTACCGTACAGAAATGATAGAAATATAATAGTAGGGCAACTTCCCTAATCATTAATTTTATTCGCACCTCTAGAGCCCAGCTCGTGGGTTACAGCACGGCGTAACCGGTTATCAACATCTTTGCGAAACAAATACCAATACCTAGACAGGTTTCATCGCGGTATAAATCTTGTTCAAGTCGAACATATTGTGGACACGTACGATCTTTTTTGTCTGCGCATGGATGGTGAAGATTGAACAGGCCGGGACCGTCACAACTGCTTGTTTTCCGTCATTGCCAGTCACGGTGAATGTTGGCAGAGCTGTGGACGCCACTGTTATTGTGTCCTGATCATCCATCTCTTCTCGGGTAGGTAGCACGCCTCCTAACAATGGCTGTGACCAAACTTCGACTTTCTCATGTTGAATTTTGAGGACGGCGTTGAAGAAATTAGCCGAAAAGGATCGAATTGCTTCTAGTCCAACAAGCGCTGGGTCGGCATTAAATTGAAGGGAGCACCGCGAAGGATGATATAGAGAGGCGAGGCGATCGGCATCCCTACTGTCAACTCCAGCGTAATAATCTTTGACAACTTGAACGATGGCGGTATGGGGAAGGTGCTGAAGCAAAAGTATTTGTCCAGTAATATCAGTTAGTCAATACGTAAGAGATACTACTGCTGTCAAAAGGGCTGTGGTGAAATGAATGCTCATACCATTGTGAGGTCGGAGGGCAAATGGGTACCCGATGGTCCGCGCGTTGAAAAGAGCACTTATTAAAAGACATGACGTCACACAAATCTCCACTAGATTTCTAGAGATTCTAGAACAGTTAACGAATAGAACATGTTAGAATCAGATGCTAGTTTTTACATTTCAATTCGATGTTTCTGGAACACCTTAACCTTCGAATAAAAGATAGCACATGTGAAAGGTCTTAAACGTAGATTATAATTCTTATATTTCTGGTTCGAACTCTTCATCAAAAAGACGTTCCACAAAATCATCAGCAACACGTACAATCTCACTTGCATTTCCTTGCAGAATCTCATCAAGAAGCTCATCCGCAATGCTAGATAGTTATACATGACAATTAGAGCTTGTGGGATACTGCGGACGTCGCCAACGCACCTTTGCACAGTATTCCATGGGTCAATATAATCTGCTATCGTTGTGAAATCTTCGTCGCCAGAAGGTAACACAACCAAGGCGCCGATGGCGGCGCGCTGATGTCGAATATATCGCATTCTCCCATCCTCAATTCCATTGAGTGCGTCAGGGGGTATGGATAAAGCAAGACGCGGTCTGACCGCCGCTAGTTCAGCTGGTTGTTGAGGCGCGACATCGTCTTCAACTTGTGCTGATTCGTGCGCCTCCGCGGTATCATGCTTTTTGACGTGCAAAAGTCGTTCCCCTTCAACTTCCAACTCTCTTAGTTTACTTAGCAGGTATACTAAGCCCCGGCTTTCGTCATCTTCGACAACCCCCGTCGCTACGGGTGATTGACTACGTATGATCTTTGTCTCTATTGTTGCCGATCCGTGATTGATCGCCCGCTCTTGTACATCACTTTTACTTGTGACAGGTACCGACGAGATTCGTCCCATAGCATGCTCCAGATCTTCTAACGCTTTGGCAAGTAAAGGCTCAATCTTTTGGGCCACTATAACCTCGACCTGCTGTTCAAGTCGAGCGGTTTCCCCGTGAGTCTGCAGTTGCACTTTGCCCTCAGGTGGTTCAAGAGCATCCGGACTAGCATCTGACTTCGGATTAGAGTGGGGTGGTGGACTTGATTGGCCCGACATAAGACTTTTTCGTGTATCTAACATGCCCGCCCGTGAGTCCAGAAATCGCTGCAACTCCGTTCTCAAGTTCACCGAAATGGGTAACCCTTCATTGCGCTTTGAGTGACAGCCAAACAAGGTGAGTATTTGCCAACGCGCGCTTGTCGAAGGTTTGGATATTTACTGTTACCTTCGCTGGGCGACTTTGGTGTCTTCCCCTTTTTCGTCGCTTGTTGTTAACTTCCTCTTCAATTGCCGCTTCCCGCAACATTTTTTCATACGCTCGCTGAAGACGCTGATCACTTTCTTTCATTTGCCAGGCATTGGCAGCATCCACACGACGATCATGCACTTTTAGCCCTGTTTTAGATTTGCCTATCGTCCTGACTGGAGGTTCAACGATAAAGTCCTTCGACTTCTGACGCTGTGGGCCACTATTTTTTGATGCCTTTGATTGGTGATGTGACACTATCCCAATGCCACTTTGCATTTTAATATCCGTGTCCGCTGCGATGGGGGAAGGCTGTGTTACTATCACGATTTGGTAAATGTTTGACCTCCCTCGTTGGATAACAAACTACCATACTGCTGTAGAACATACCGATGCGGGCGGGCCGGGATGCCTTTCTTTCACTAGCTCCGGACGGTACTACGCGTACCTGCCTGTTCACCTTTTCATTATTACCGTGGGGTTTTCTAGCCGACCATGTGATCTACACTCTGAAATTGGTGCTGAACTCACTGGTTTTCCTTTTTTGACATTTTCCGGGTACTTTGGCGGAACGAAGTGCTTCGCTTCCCGCGGCGCAAACTTAACTCCCTTATTTTCTCCTTCTCTAACGACGTGCGATCGCATCCGATTGCCAGCACTTTCCTTCTCCATGGTCTTCTTACAGAATAGATCGGCAGTTGAATTTTGCTCCATAGTCTCGTGTGTCTGTTGAGCTTCCTCAACCTGTTGGCATTGTTGAACTCGGTTCTCAGGAATATCAAAATACATAGATGCTAGATCTTCCAAAATTGGTAGCTGTACTTCTTTCCCAATCCGATCGTCCTGGGAAACATCGGTGCCAGTGCTTTCAGCAGCAAAATTCCTTGCAGGGTGAGCGTGGGGATTTCTTCTTGAAGAGCGAAGGAGGCCCCTTTCACTCAGCTGCTCTTTGACGAGTTCACAAACCTCTTCTGAGCTGCGGGGAAAGGATGATACAGTGCCTTTTGTTTTGTTGGTAACATCCAGGAAGCGCAATTCCTGTCTAGCGACCTTTTGCGCTCGTTGAAGTCGGCGCTCTAGTTTCTGGAAATTCCAACCATTTTTCTGGCGGATTGATGGCTGGTCCGGATGAGAATGGAAATTGCGATCTTGATGTGCATACGTTCGGGGCGCCTGTTTCTCGTTAGCTTCAGATAAGCCCGAATTGTCTTGGAAGTATCCAACCACTGGTCTCTTTGGTTCTGTAGAAGGCATCGCTGCAGGAGGTGAGTTGGTACGCGCTGCTCACGAAGCACGCGAGGCAGGACGCGAGGCGACCGAGAGCCGCTTCGATCCGGATTCGAACCGTCCTTTCACCATCTGAATATAGGGTGCGGTAAGCAATCGTCGCCACGAACCTCATCTGAGTTTGCGGATAGCTTCATTCCCTCCTTGCGAATTTCGCCACACACACATAGTCTGCTACCTTAGTGCATTATAAGTACCTGAAGAAGGTATATACATAGCTGATGGGCTCGTTTGAAGAATCGCACTAGGCGCGTCCCTGTCATCCTATTGACTTCACAAGTAGCAGGTCATTAAAAAATGGCGGGCAACCTCTTCCGCTCAGAGGAGATGTCCCTCATTCAGGTAGATATTTTCTGCTTGGATGCCTTAGCAGCTGCCATCTGACCCCTCCTCTGTTTTTAAGCTCTACATACCGTTGGAGATTGCTCAGCCGACTGTTGCGGAGCTTGGTGAGCTTGGGCAAGTTGAATTTCGAGATGTGAGTTAAGGAGCTTCTATTTTTGCCATGCATTGCTTTTAACCGAGAGCTTTGCAGCTGAACCCGAATGTGAACGCTTTTCAACGCGCATTCGTGAATGAAATTCGCCGCTTGGACGAAATGGAAAGGAAACTGCGTATGTTATCTTAAAACGTGGACGGCGATTCAATGACTTGCTAATCGCGCTTGGAACGTACCTTGATATCCATAGGCTTTCTTGAAAGCCAAATTCACAAGGCGGAAATTCCTGTTCGTCCGTTAGATAGCAGCATGTATTATGCTCGCTCGAGAACGCAGCAGGAGATTGATGAGCTTGAAGAGCGGCTGAACGACTATGAAGCGCGTATTCAGCAAATGATTACCTCATTGGAAACTTTAAACAAGAGATACCTCGAGCTCACCGAGTTGCGACACGTATTGCGCGAAACCGCGATATTTTTTGATGAGGTAGGCTGTTAACATAGCGCTACAATACCTTTTTGTCCCGCTTATATTGAAAGTGGCGCCTATGATAAGGCGACTTCTCGAACTGAGGACATTCTGGGAGCGCCTCACCGGGAAGATACCCACCTATTGGCGCCAGCAGGTACACTTGAGCAACCAGATGACAGCGAGGCTGCAGAACGTGGAGAAAGCGCTTTGCGAACGGCCAATCTCGGGTAGGTCCCTATTTCAGATGTGGAACGATGATCATGCATTAAATTGCTCATGTCGCTGACAGTTTTGTAGCTGGAGTTATTCCTCGCTCACGCATGGGAACTTTCGAGCGTATTCTTTTCCGAGCACTTCGTGGCAACCTTTACATGAATTATGCAGAGATTGATGAGCCCATTATCGATCCTGCGACAGACGAAGTGGTTCAAAAGAATGTCTTCATAATTTTTGCCCATGGGAAGCAACTTCTAGCCAAAATACGCAAGATATGCGAGAGCATGGGTGCTACTGTGTACCCAGTCGATGAGCGGCCAGAAAAGAGGCGTGAGGACGCGCAGGAGGTCCTCAACAGACTGGAAGATCTGAAGCATGTAGGTGTCAAATTTGCAGAAACTTTTCTGGTCACGGTTTACAGAAGACATGGCAAACGCAGGTTCTTGATAACACCCGTAATGCGCGACGTATTGAACTTGCCAAAGTCGCTGAAAACATGGAATCGTGGTCTACGATTGTTAAGAAAGAAAAGGCGATCTACCATACAATGAATATGTTTAATTACGACGTCAACCGAAAGGCTCTCATTGCAGAGGGCTGGTGCCCCACTCTATCCATCAATGCTCTTCAATACTCTTTGCGTGGTGTTACGGTATATAGTAATCAATTTTGAATGACTCTGTAATTGAGGAATAACGGAAAGCTGTGCTATGATTTCAGGAGCGGACAGGGTCGACAATTCCTCCAATTCTAAATGAGTTGCGAACGCGATTGACACCGCCGACTTACCATCGCACAAATAAGTTTACCGCGGGGTTCCAAGATATTGTAGATGCATACGGTGTCGCTACCTACCGAGAGGTTAATCCAGGTCTCTTCACCGTGATTACCTTCCCGTTCCTCTTTGCCGTGATGTTTGGGGACTTCGGACACGGTATCTTTATGACCGCCATGGCCGCCTGGATGGTCATACAGGAGAAAAAGCTGGCCAAGATTAAGGATGAGGTAAGTCTTGAGATGCTAGTACCTTGCGAAAAACATATTTTAAAGCTTTTGGATGTACCAGATCTGGCAGATGTTCTTTGGGGGCCGATATATCATTCTTCTCATGGGGGCTTTCTCCATTTATACGGGTCTTATCTATAATGATATCTTTTCGAGGGCCATGAACCTTTTCGGAAGCGGATGGGAGTTTCATGAACGTGGTGGAAAATGGTATGGTGAAAAGAAATGGACCTATGTTTTCGGAGTCGACCCGGTAAGGGCGTTGGATTTCTTTATCCAACCAAGCCATGTACTTGACCAACTTGGTTGTCCAGGCTTGGCATGGTTCGGACAATGCTTTGTTATTCTCCAACTCGTATAAAATGAAACAGGCTATCGTGTTTGGAGTCATGCATGTGAGTACAGAACATGGGAGAAACCAAATGCAGTATTTTCATGAAATAGGGATCTAAAAGTATTCTTATCATTCAATAGATGACCTTCGGTATCTGTTTGAACGTGTGCAATTACACGTACTTCAAAAAGAAAATGAGCATCTACACCGAGTTTTTACCGCAAGTCATCTTTTTCCTAAGCATTTTCGGCTATTTGGCGATTTTGATTATTTACAAATGGGCAACCTACTGGCCTGACCCTTCGCGCGCTCCGGGTTTGCTGAATACCCTGATTTACATGTTCTTGTCCCCCGGGAGTGTTGCTGAAAAGGATCAGTTATTCAAGGGACAGGTGGGTAAATTTAACCAGATCCGTCAGGCCTCAGTCGTCTTTCGACGAATGTGTGATGCGATGTTTTCCGAATTTTCAGGCCGGCCTGCAAGTATTTCTGCTGCTCGTGGCGTTTGTCTGTGTACCCTGGATGCTATTCGCAAAGCCTTATTTTTTGAACAAGGAGCACCAGAAGCGCGGGGGACTAGGATATGCGAACTTGTCGGATGAGAATTTACCGGAGAACAGGACATCGAGTGGATCTTCTGACCCTAGGCCGTCAGAGGAAGGCGATGGTGGACATGTAGAGATGTCACACGATGGTCATGAGGTATGTGAAGAGCTTTCGTTAGACACATACCCTCAGATACTCATTCTGCAATGTCCCGCAGCATTTTGATTTCGGAGAAATCATGATCCATCAAATGATTCACACGATCGAATTTTGTTTGGGCACGATTTCCAACACGGCATCGTATCTTCGTCTCTGGGCTTTGTCCCTAGCTCATGCGCGTACGTCGAATCTGGCTTTGGGCTTATTTATTTGGTCTCACTGTTTGTAATTCAGAGCTGTCCGAGGTGTTATGGGTCATGGTGATGGGAAGCGCTCTAACAAGGACCGGGCCCTTTCTCCCTTTTGCCCTTGTGATTGCATTTTGTATGTGGTTTGTGTTGACCATAGGCATTTTGCTTCTCATGGAAGGCCTCTCGGCATTCCTGCATGCTTTGCGTCTGCACTGGTAGGTGCACTGTAGTTAGCACGCATAAGAATATACATTGTCTCACCTGTAACTTTCAGGGTGGAATTCCAGAACAAATTCTACGGCGGCACTGGCAAGAAGTTTGAACCCTTCGCTTTTGCCAGGATTCTTGCCGAATCCGAGGAATAGAAACAATGGATTCTAGTGTAGTCTGCGACAACCGGAATAGAGAACGATTCTTGTGTAGTCTAAGCCAACGAAATAAACGCGTGCTACTACAGACGTTCTTTTCTCGCCTGATATTTTGGCGAAATTCCGCACTACTGAATGCGACTACTATTATAAATTTCATTTTTACATAACCCTATTCTATCTCCCTAAAATATACTTTTCACGAGACGATCCATGATCATACACACTAAATGCCTATTCAAATCTTGATGCTGAAGCATGTTAAATAGTCTGGTCATTCCAGCCACCGTATTGTACTTGCCCACAACGCGAGCAACTGTCTCTACGCCACCCAACCCCGAGTTGATGAAAAGATGTTTGGCTTCCATTTTCGTTTCAGCCATGTCTTCCTCACTCCTTGGGGTAGGAGGAATACCGTCCTGTTGCGCTTTTGTAGAGTACCAGATTCCTTCCGGCCATAGTGAACCGTCCAGCATGTCAACATAAGACGCAACTTTTGTCTCTGTGGTAGCTTCGATGAGTCGAGACTGAATAAGGGTGGAAATACTGGTGCCATATGTGCGTCTCAGAATAGTTTTCACCATGTGTAATCCTTTCTGCCGTAGCCATTGGTTCGGATCCGACAGATGGAACACTTCTTCTATTATCCCAAAAACGCATTCAAGCATGATCTCAAGTTCTGCATCAGACAGCGGTGGATCCTCTCGTGAATGTCGGGCGGGTGAGCCGCTACCGCTGGGTCCTTCGACAGATTTTATTGAGCCGGCAAGCGACTTGGCCGGAGACGCTGATCGGGCCGAAGAAGAACGTGGAGGAGTTTCAGGACGATAGGACGTTGCGGACATTGAGTAATCACCGCTGGCATTCGAGCCCACCGGTACCGTAGCATTACTGGCATCCACGGATGCGGAACCTCCAGCAGATATATGCGAGGTCACGGACGCTAGACTGCCGACTGACTTGTTCCTCACCATTGGTTTGGTTCCTAGCCCCTTATCTGACCCTTCATCGTGATCCGATACGGCATCATCCAGTGACGATGCCCTGGCAGGTACGAGTAGAGTTTCAGGCTGATCTTCTTCGCTGCCAGCAGGTTTGTTTGACCAAAAACTGCTAGACCTACGTATTGTCTTTGAATTTGTTGGCTCATTCTTTTTCATTCCATGCGCAACCCCGGCTACAGCGGCATTAACTTCACTTGCCACAAACGTAGCGGCCCGCATAGGGGTGGCAACCGCAACCTTTCGCAGGATACTTCCTGCGGACTTTAAGGTTCCGAGCACCTTAGTAGCAACGACAGGCTTTGCACTATACTCTTGAGTCTGGATATTCTCGGGCTTCATAAAATCCTGTACTTGTGCAGATTCGTATAACGTGGCGTCGCTGGCAATTATATTCAGCCAGCGCTCCAGCTCATGAGATAGCTCCTCTCTTGCTTTCGTTCCAGTCACGCGTGTGCGTTGTGGGAAATTGGACTTCCGAACTTTGGGGAACACAGTGCGGAGCGCCTCATTAAGAGCAATGATATCCGCATAGGACTTTGAGATCATCCACCCTCCACTACCGTTAGTCCTTTCAATTTGGACAATGAACACGATAGATTTGGGATGCGTAGGTGTAGAGGCAAATGCAAAGATGTTCTTCTCGTCCTTGTCTTTTTCAGGAGCTGTCATGTCCAATATGTTTATCCTCACGTTGCGCAGGTCTACCGCGAGGTGCCCTTGCTTAGCCTGCTGCTCTTCTTGCGCTATCAGATCGGCCAATTCTTCTACCTGCGTCTGCAGCTGTAGTTTCGTGCTAGCTAAGTCGGACAACTTTTCAGCATCGGCAGAGCGTCGCATTATTGAATCGATAAGAGTAACTTGCTCCCGCAGAGTATTGATGGCTGCTTTCACCTCTTCGATGTCATGGTTACCATTCTTTCCCAGATTCTCAAGTACGTGCGCTGCTGACTGAATAGAAGCGGTCATCGCGTCTGTCTCGTCCTCGATCTCACTAGCAGCCGTTGCAGCAACGCTTTCCTGCGCCTCTACAGCCGACTGCATTCCACTGGTACCCGGCACCGGTTCCTCCAACGTGGACGTATCATCATTAAGCGGGAGGACGTCGGTGAACAATTCGTTATCAATGTCAGATGCACCTTTCCAGGAGGACTTTGGAATGGCATCCTGTCCGGAACTTACGTTGGATTTCACATCATCGGTCTGCGCAGGGGGACGCGGCGGTAATGTTGGTGTTGCGTCCGTTGATGGGGACATTTTGCCGGATGTCCCTTCAGTCACCACAGTCGGTCGTGGTGGGACTGCTGGAATTTCAGCTACCGATCGGGGAGGTAGCTCAGGGGCAGGCAAGCTGACGTCAGGTAATCTCGGAGGAAGTGCAGGAGGGATTGAGTTGTTTGCAGATGCTACTGACTCAGAATCTGAGCCAGAACTCCCACTACCCGACGCGGACCCAGTCTTTTGCTGGCTCTCTCGTAATGTCAGTCCATTTTCAACGAGGTACCGCTGATAAAGTTGGCTATGCTTAAATCCTTCCATGAAGCGCTTTTCGGTAACTTCGACGATGCGTTGTTGTAAAGGGCGGAAAACATCCGCGCCGGGTGAAGCTAACACCGCCTGCCGAACCCTTTCCACCAGTTCTGGAGATTCCAAATCCACTCTTTGAGACGCCGACGGAGAAAAGAAAGTGTCAAATATGGATAATGCATCTGTTCTGAGTCCTTCTATCGCATTGGCCAGCCCCGAAGACGACTGACTTGACATCTCCAGCTTCGCGAACCGATTGAAAGAGTCAATCATGACGTAGAGCTGTATGTAATCGGACGACTTTATATCATCCATGTATTGCATGAACTCCACCAATCCTTCGTTTCGAACTAGGATATCTTCCGCTGTCAGGTCTGAAATTTCGTTACTGAGCCCTGAGTTGGGATTTTCATTGCCTTGTGCTGCGGAGGATCCACGTGCACTGTTTGTGCCGGCCCCATGCCCAGCTGCAGGTGCAATCCGTATTGCTTCAAGTAAGATCTCAGCATTGGTTACACCGGCAAATCGGGTATCCGCAGTATCAATCGGTAACCATCCTTTCAGAAACTTGTTTGGGGGGAGTTGTGACATTGGGACGTACACGCTGCCAATGATTTCATCTGTGTAGAACCGAATTGCGGAATCTCAGGAAACTTGAACGCGGCACAACAAGTCCACGGTTTACCTTTGATTAACCTCGACTCCAGCAAATCCACCACTATTCCGTCTACACCACCATTAGCATCGTCATTGTCCCAATCGCTAAATGATAGATCCTTTTAATGCTGGGTTTACCGGTTGAATTAGTTCTCACTTACAATCGGAACTCCTCCATCCACATTGGATTTGATTCCGCGTTTATTTTACGGCTTCTCTGCACCTTTGTACCGCAGAGGAGCGAACAATATAATCCATACATATCAGCAATGGGCAGTCTTCGAGCTTCGACAACTATACAAGGCCCTACGAGTGAGCATGGCCAAAAGAAAACGCATTCCGACCAAGATCGAATTTTCAGCCTACCTTTGACGTACACCTGTTCTCCACTACTATCTTTTCTTGAAGGAGCCCACAAACCTGGCTGTGGCGATCCTGTAGATCCGGTTTGCTTGCTAGCCATGGCAACGGCGCTCGCTTGTGATTTTCTAAGGAACGTCAGCAACTGCCGATTGATCCAATCGCTATCACTGCACATCTCAACGATTGGCAGCAGAACAGACGTTGCCAATATTTCCTGGACAAATGCAAAAACCATCGGACTGCATCTATCTCCACGAGGGAGAAGTTCGACCGCCAGATGCATGGACAACCTTCGAAGATGTTCAAAGATTTGGTCTTTCGTGCGGTGAAGATTAAAGGCAGAATTGGGGTTTCGAGACAGATACTCATCAAGCTGCAGCGAAGAAGACTCAAAGACGCGATATTCTCGCTAATGTAAACGCGTGTCAGCGAGTTGAAATGGTGACCCTGTACGGATTTAACGGTTTCTTACCATATGAAGAATAATAGTTTGGAAAACTGGTAACGCTAGCGCGGTCGGGCGTATTTCATTAGTAGATGTCCCCAACTTTATGAAGACATGCCGTACGCTTGCATGGACCGCTTCGGGAAAGTCCGTGCTGCCTGAATGATTGATGTTGCTGTACCAGTTATTGATGAAGTCCCTCACAATATGACCACAGAATTGTTCTAACGCATTGTGGACGCTTGGAGAAACGGAGAATGCTGACATATCAACAGGAACCTTAAGCGCCTAATCATGATCAGACAACTCGTGAATCCCATAATATCGCGTCTGACAACCTACTTCAAGTCCTCGATCCTGGTCCATACGATGGTCCCATGATAAGGTGTTTGGAAGCCCCCCAGAACCCTTTCCAGAGGTAACTCCCCACATGTAACCCAGTAGCGTAGCCACACTTATCGCACACAGCACAGCAAAAAGACGAGGGGAAAACAAAAATGCGATCGCCAAAATGGGTAGCTTTTCCGGCCAGCCCGGCGGCAGAAGGCTGAGACCAAACTCTACACGTTCCCAATACGGTCTTATCCACGGCCACCGCGTTACAACAGTTGTTCTCCAGTCGAGTTTCCGTTGCCGCCATACTCTACGTGCGGTGGTAGAGAGTAATGGGATGCTGTCGCCCTCGTCGGTACCCTGTATGGCGACGACCGGGTCCATATGTTCTATTGGCTCAGGCTTGGGTTCATTTTCTATCGCAGGCGCTGGAGGCTCAGGTTTACCATTGGTGGTCTCAGTCGTTTGCACAAGGTCATCCGGTCGACCACCCAGTTGGGCGATCTCCGACGTCAGGAAGGGGACTTTATGTCCAACGCCATCAGGATGTCCCGTCCTACTCTCTTCGTTCCCCTCTTTCCTAGCTTTCTGGTTTTGCGCTTCATTTAATACAGGTGCTGCTGTATGTTTCAAACTTTCGTCCAGCGTCAGTGCCTCTTGTGAAACAGCTTCTGTCATGTTGTTTGAAGGTGGCCAGCTTTATGCTTTGGGAAGGGCCCTGTGTGAAAGATGGGATAGTGTGTGGTGACGATGATGTGAGTTCAAGCTTGCAATCTTATATACATTGGTGTGAAAAACTGGTCTTACGAAGATGTCCCGACGGGTATTGTGATGAAACCACACCCGCGGCTAAGCGAGTGGCTTGGATTTGATTTGCCCAAATGTCCACCAGAAACCAAGTTAGATGGTGGCCTGCCGAGCAACCAAAACAAATGTAAGATACAAGGTAAAAGATGGAGGGCAGCGGTATAAATGGCGGTGGATAGGAATTAGGGAACAAGGAAGAGGCCAAGAAACGCATCTTAGGGTCATGGTTAGGGTTCAGAAAGATATTTAGGTCGAGGCATATCTGGGTGAAATGGGGATAAATAACATGTGCGCACTGGCTTAATCCTTCTCCACTTGCTACATTGGATCTGTTAAGGACTCGGGTTCGAACAGGCAATCTTTCTTGCTGCCGGCTGATACGGCATCGGAAATTAGAATTTGGTTGAGACATCGCAAATCTGGCGTATTACTATACTTGAGAGACATGATAGCAAGGCATAATGACCTGCAAACAACCAGTAACTAGTAGTATCTTGCACATCGTATGGAGAAGATGGCCGAGGCCCATCCCACCACCCCCAATACCTGAAAATTTCCAAACTTGGGAATATGCCTGACGTGGAGACGACTTTCTCAGAAAATGAGGCCGTCGAACGAAAAAGGTGATCCTTCCATTGACAGGAACAGTACTCATTTCTATCAGGGATCTGAATGATTGATTGATATGCTCGAAGGACGCATTTTTATTATATACTGCCGCCTTGTTGGGCACCATTTCTGCTTGTCCACCAGTGGTTGGCAGGTTCCTCGTTGGAAACTTGGACGCAATCAGATAACTCCTACGAACAGGACATCAATTATTTTAGAGTCAAATCAATCCCTTCAAATCCATCCAGACGTGAAAGACATAATCTTTATGGGTGGTGCTCAACTCCAGTCATTGTGCATCGTGCGCTCGAATGGCGTTGATTACGTAAACAGCGTTGCCATGGCCGTGCTGTTAACTCACATGATACGCCAACCCTTTGTTGGCTTCTTGTGTCCTCATGCAAGTGAAAGCACTCAAGTCTATTCCTACGGTTTTTTTTTTTCCAATCCATCTTTTGCCAAGAAGAATACTCTCCTCTGACCCAAATCTCCTATTTGGAGGAAACCAAGAACTTCTTGCCGCAGAGCCAACAACGTCAGTAGACACACCTTACCATACGCTACAAATTCCTCTGACTCCGCTTCATCTGTCGCAATCTATCACGCGCAACAAAGCCTCAGTGTCACTTTCACCAGTGATCAAATACCAGAAAGCTGTTCTTCCCTTACCCTCTTGTACAAACCGAAATTTCCCAGCTGCATACCTGCTGTGACGAACTTGTACATATTGCTTGTTTATTCCCCTCTCCGCTTTGTGATTCCGTCTTCGATCCAGCGATTCCGCCTGACCAAGCACATTTCCGACCTCTCTACGCGCCTGTCAACTGGTAGTTGACTCTCACTTCACGTTCTTTGCAATCTCCCAGCGTGGTCGCACGCTACATTCGTAACATCGTTCATTTTCCCGGGCAACCTGTACTCACCTCCACCATGTCTGTGAACGGCCTTGCAATGCAGTTGCAAAATACTCACATCAGGTAGGCGATCCGTGCATGTTCAAACTTATTGGAAGCTGCTGTCATCGCAGGCTGGGTCGAACGTCTGTCAGCAATTTTGGATCGCTAACGGGTGCAATATTTACATAGTAATCATGACAACAATGACTGGAAAAGAAGCTTGAAACTTCCCGCAAAAGATAATCGGCCGCAGACAGAGGATGTAACGGCTACTAAAGGGAATGACTTTGAGGATTACTTTTTAAAGCGGGAATTGTTGATGGGAATCTTTGAAGCTGGGTTTGAGAAACCATCACCTATTCAGGAGGAAGCCATACCTATTGCACTGGCCGGTCGAGACATATTGGCTCGAGCAAAGAATGGAACGGGTAAAACCGCCGCTTTTATTATTCCGGCCCTTGAGAAGGTCAATCCCAGCAAAAATCACATCCAAGGTATGATTACTTCAGCCATTGCCTGCCAAACCGCCCGCCTCACGAGTTAATTTACGCCATTCTGTAGCGCTGATCCTGGTTCCTACGAGGGAACTGGCGTTGCAAACATCTCAAGTATGCAGAAATTTGGGGAAGCATATGGGCATCCAAGTCATGGTAACAACCGGCGGCACAACTCTTAAAGATGATATTTTACGCCTTGGCCAGACAGGTACGTGTATGTCCAGGCTCTATTACATAGATGTCTTCTAAAACATTCCACACAGTCCATATCCTTGTAGCAACCCCCGGACGGGTTTTGGACCTTGCAGGGAAAGGGGTTGCGGACCTCCGAGAGTGCTCGATGCTGATTATGGATGAAGCGGACAAATTGCTTTCTCCTGAGTTTCAACCGATAATCGAGCAGCTCATCTCGTTCTGCAGAGCCGATCGACAGATCCTCCTTTTTTCTGCTACCTTCCCTATGATTGTCAAAAACTTCAAGGATAAATACCTCACCAAGCCGTATGAGATCAATCTGATGGACGAGCTGACTTTACGAGGAGTAACGCAATATTATGCGTATGTGGAGGAGAGGCAAAAGGTTCACTGCCTCAATACACTCTTTTCGAAGGTGAATACAACCTCGGTACTTGCTCTACGTCGCACTGAAATTCACCGCGCTACTGTGTCCGCAGCTGCAAATCAACCAATCCATTATTTTCTGTAATTCTACGAGCCGAGTAGAGCTCCTTGCGAAAAAGATTACCGAGCTCGGCTACTCTTGCTTTTATATCCACGCCAAAATGTTGCAATCCCATCGTAACAGAGTTTTTCATGATTTCCGAAACGGCAAGACCAGGCATTTAGTTTGCTCTGGTGAGTTTAGATTGCACAGGGCGGGGACCGACAAAATGGACTAACAGATCTTCTTAGATCTTCTTACGCGAGGTATCGATATCCAGGCGGTGAATGTCGTCATCAATTTTGATTTTCCTAAAAATGCGGAGACATATCTTCATAGAATTGGGCGTTCTGGAAGATTTGGGCACTTGGGATTGGCCATTAACCTTATTACGTATGAGGATCGGTTCAACCTCTATCGTATTGAGCAGGAACTGGGAACGGAGATTGCTCCCATACCCCCGGTGATTGACAAGTCGCTCTATGTTGCACCGTAAGACAGCGCATATGTACCGATCAACTTAAAATGACGATTGAAGCAATAGTTGATCAGTACGGGTTGGCAACGTGCGTCTGCTCATCTGCAACCACAAATAGGCAATGATAGGGGATGGGGATTATGTTAGGGTATTAACAGCTCATGGATTTGTATATCCGACATGTTACCCGCAATAAAGAACGAGGGCCCTATCATTAAATACCTCATAGTTTTGTACGTCGGCCATGATATTCAAAAATTTGGCTTGGTTGCGATTGCTGCGATGCTGAAAGCTGGAAGGACACCAACCTTGTACTTTTGCAATACAACCTGAAGGATAATGGCAGCTACATTCGAGAGCCGGTAGGGTGTCGCTTCGACCGTAGACCGCGTGGCTGCCATCAAGGGTTTCTAGACAAGCAATTGCTGAGAGTCTGACGGGAATGATGCAGCACGTCTGGCCATGAGAGGAACTATGATACAAACTGATGTTGAGCGGTGGATTAATACAGCGTGGCAGCCGAGAAGGCCGTGTGCGCAATCGATGTTGACATGGGGAGCAAAAGCACCAATTTGCCACGGAATACTGAAAGGACCACCTGAAAATAACAAACAGGTGCGTTGAAATCACGGCAAACGATACGTGAAAAGCCAGGAACAGTGGATGCCTTCAAAACGTTTTCGCCCAGTCTTTTACATAATTTCGATCATTGCGCAATGAACCCTTTTCGACACTTTCTTGTCACAGGTGCTACTAAATTCCATCCGCACAGAGGTCGATCAATGCACCTCCGTAGGCTAAACACTGCAATGGGAGGGTGCAGACGTTCACCGACGGCGTAGGGAGACGGGACATTTGATCTCTTCTGCCAAATGCTTTTCTTGCTAATCGAAGATGATCTTACGATTAATTCGAAGAGAGGCATCTGTGGAGGACTTTGAACCTGTTACAGGTATGCCGTGGTTCCATTTGGGATTAGTACCGCCTCAATGCCCATTGATGTTGGTTTGCTGCTGGGAGACCTGCTCACAGCTGCTCTGCCTTGAATCATAGAGCGGCTTGGCAAAGGTTTGGGTCATCCATCCGTGCATTATCTATAATTCCCTGTGATACCATAGTTTGAAGAACATTCTATAGTGATCAACACCTGGTGCAAGGAATAATGCTGCTTGCATGGATGCTATCATAAAGGAGATACCCTCTGCCAGTTCAGATGGCCATGCTAACCAAGCCAGCTCCATTTTCCAAACACAGGTCACTTAATGGCCACCTTTCTGCAGAATCTGGTTCACTGGCAACATATCCCGCTCTTCACAATCTGTTCTGCTGCATAATCTGCCATTTCTTCTCGATAATCAAGCATGTCCAAAAAGGCCGGTGAAGCAGGTTGGACAGGCTACTTCGTGCTTGATCTCACACTCTCTGCAACCGATTCTTCGGTTGTGTAATTGTCACATGCAAGTGTCGTCTAGATAATAACAGCACGACTAATCACACCTGCAGCAGCCTGTTCTGTAACTGTGGTTGCCACAAGAATTGTCAGCATCATTCGACAGAGAAAATAAGCTATCTCCCCGGCACGATGTTCAATTTTAGCTAGACGCTTGGTGCTCCGTGCCTCCCGAATCTGTCATGTTAAACCATTTCGATTCCGACTTTGAGTATCGTTCACTGAACTGGGTTACGCTGGAGGCTTATGGAACAATCACAAGCTGCTGCGGAGCAGAAACATGCGGACCATATTTCGAACAACACTGCCCATGGCTCGTATTTCGATATTTACCGACACTGAATTGCAAAGCTGACGGTGCACGAAGTACAATTGGCCACTATTTGCAATCCACGCTCACAATTCAAGTTTCTCTTTCGCCATATTTGATCTACCGACCTTGTTCCTGGTATATTTCGCTGTACGTTTAACGGAACCTGGTCAAAAGACCATATAATACCTCGCTCTGGACTTACACCATTCTTGATTACCCGGACAGGCTTCCCCTTGAAAATCGGTTCTTGATACCGAAAGCTCGCGATTAGTGGAGGACGACCCAAATCCTTCTGAAGATGCTGAAAGTAAAATTCTTAAATTCCATCTTTCGGAGAGTTGCTTGTAATGAAATAATGTTTGGGAAATTGATATAATGAGATCGGTGTTGTGGGGAGATCACATACAAGCGATTGGAGGGCCCGAGGTTGGCAGACTACCTACGGTAAGCCAATGGTCTTGGATAATTCTGCTCGCTGCTGAATCTCCGGAAGGTTGAATCCCCTTTTGCACGTCTGCAGAATAATGAACATTACAGTAACATCATCACTCTCAGACCTCACCGGCAATTGCTCTCACCCGAGTTTCTACACTTGACCTTTTGTGCGTCGTGGGTGCTCTTCTCACCAGTGAATTGTCCTAGTGTGGTGGACGTCCCCCATGCTAACTGGAATGTTCGTACGCGACATGGCGTGCATTTACTACGTTGGCAAAACAAGTGTTTGGCAACATGGGCAGACAAATTGAAAGCAGTGTAGCAAAACATCTGTATATCCGCTTAAATGATTTCTAATGCTACTAGCAGATAGCCAACAAATGAACGTACATGCAACGGAGCCGTTTCCACTCTGTCACAAACTGTTGAGGCCATCATAATCATTCAATGTGGACAAAATAATTTTGGCTGGTTCTATGGATCATGGATGCTGTTACTCTCACATTGCTGACTGATGCCAAAGGTTAAAAGGACACAGTGATGGACTACTTTTCCTCAGCCTTTCACGTTCTTTGCTTTGACTGCTCTCTTGGCTTCTTTGAAGATTGGTAAGTAACAAAAAGACATATGCTGTCCAGAGTCCATGCTGAAATCCCCCACTTTAGCCGTTGCCAGTGATGCCTCTCCGGACCTTTACGATTTTGGGCCTTGCGATGTCGAGCCTTGCCGCCGTCATAGGAGCGCCCGTGTCAGATGCGCTGGCTAACGGCAAGAACGATCCCTCAATAACTGCGTGCAGCCCGATCGAAATCATATCCGTTCGTGGAACGACTGAACCTCAGACTGGGAGTCGAGTTATGCAACCCACCATCGGGCGAATCATGCGGCAATTCCCCAAAGCAACGTTGTACAATGTAGTTTACCCTGCTGACAGGGATTTCGCAAACGGCCCCATTATAGGTGCCAAAGATTTGATGGATCACCTCACTGCTCAAGCGGCAGCTTGCCCTGAGCAACAATACGTCTTAGCCGGTTATTCGCAGGGCGCCATGGTTCTGCATCGCGCCTTCAGCAGCATCAGTGAAGCCACCTTTAACCGTATTCCAGCTGTCATCATGTTCGGCGACCCTTTTTACGATCCAAGTTTGCCTTCGTCGGCTGGAACCGCCAAAGGTCAAGGTGGCCCGCGCCCAGGAGCACCACGCCTTCCCCAGGAGTGGGTTGCCAAAACGAGAGACTACTGTAATGCTGGTGATCCGGTCTGCACGTCGACCGGCTCCAATTGGTTAGTCCACGCTTCTTATGGTGCCAGCCCGCAGGCGGGAGAGGCGGCATCGTTCGTGATCAGCAAGTTGTCTTGAGAAATTCTTTGGACGTCCGCAACTACCTCATAGAGCATCGTAAATGTACTTTTTTCCAAAGTTTGTGGGTATTTGTTAGATTTTTGCAATCACACGTTATGTCGAATTCAGTAATTCCCAATTTTTGCAATGAAAAGTAAATTTACAAACATACAATCTGTAGCTGATTGCGCGAATCGCACACACAAGTGCTTTGCTCATTTACTAGTATCCAACACAATCCTACCCTTGATGTCCCCTTTTGCCATACTTTCCAGAACCTCCTGGAGCTGACTCAGGGGTCGGACTTCAAGATGCACCTTAACTTCACCTCGAGCAGCGAATTGCAAAGCCTCGATAGCTTCGATACGACTACCAACAATGGAGCCTCTAACCGTCAATCGTCTCATGACGGTATCGAAAATATCTACAGGGATCTCTGAGCCGCGCTTGGGCAAACCTAAGGTAACCAGTGTACCCCAGGTTCGAAGATACCCAAGGGCCTAATTTGGATATTTCCATTTAGCAGAAGATGGGGTAGCACCATTGAAACGTCATTTCTAGAACTTACTTGCTTGTACGGTTCTGGGTTAGCAACGGCAAGTAAGGCCCCATGCGCCCCTCCATGAGTAGTATCAAGTATAGCTTGACTGAGATTCTTTTCACTTTGAAAATCAAAGAAAGCATCGACGCCAAGGGATTCGCAGAATTCTCGTTTGGAGCCGGCATCTATCGCAGCGACCCTCATTCCCATTGCTTTCGCATATTGTACTGCCAAATGCCCGAGACCCCCGCCAGCGCCAGAAATGACCACCCACTGTCCAGGTTTAACCTCGGTCTCTTTTAGACCCTATATTAAGGAACTTTAGAATAAATGCCTGACTGTAACTGGGTCGCACGAGTCACATACCCTGTATACTGTAAGCTGTTTTTTACAGGACCCAAATTTTGGCACTTGTTAGCAGTCTTTAGAATTATACAAACATTTTCGGATGGCACATACTCCGGCACAAAGTATGGGCGCCGCTTGCTCATAACTCAACCCTTCGGGTAGGGGAACAACATGGCGTGCTTTCGCAACTGAACAAAGATCAGTGTGAATCATTTCAAACCGTTTAAAGACTAGTCCATTCGAAGATTTTGCCTACCGGCATACTCTTGAAAACTTCCATCAACAGTAAATCCCGAGGTTTCTTGATTCGGACAAACAGTCTCACGCGCACTCAAACAAAACTCGCAGATACCGCATGTGTCATGGATCCATTTGATACCAACACGATCTCCAGGCTTGTAATTCCTGCATTGTGAACATTAATGAGAGAGATTGGCATTGTCTTACATCCACATGTCCAACATACGTGACTTGCTCGCCAACTTTCACAATATATCCTAAATGATTGTTTATCGTCATTAGTTGAAAGGGCACGCAAAGTGGATGGAGATTGCATTAAATGATGCCTCCACTTGACTGACCTGCACCCTCATGACCAGCAATTAAAGGCATCTTACTCTTCAACTCCCAGTCCCCACTCTACGCACATCAATTTAGCAAAGGTAAAAGAAAAACAGGAGGAATTCATTGCACTACAATACCAAAGCATGAAGATCGGTATGACAAGCTCCAGTTTTCACGACATGAACCAAGACATCTTCAGGTCCAGGTTCACGAACTGGTTCAGAGGTTTTGATCTCAAGTTTTCCACCATGAGTAAATGCAACTGCCGCCCGCTGGGTTTTTGGGATTGTTAGAGAGAGTGCTTTCTCGACTGACGGGCGAATGACTGCTTTCAGATTTGCCGAGTTCTGGATACCCATTCCTATTCTATTTGTTTTTGGACGAATACCTGCGGGGAAAGATGGAACAAGAAATGTTGCGAGGGACACATCCCATTATGGTGTTTAAATACCCCACATCCCGCCTAAAGGCTCTGGAATGTGCTCTGTCATGCACGCGCGTGGATGTGACGCAATGGCCAACCAATGCAAAGGTTAGGTGAAGATGCAAGTATTTCAATGTATCTGACTCACGCTTCAATACACAGGTCTACTGGATATTTTCGGATATCATGTAGAGATTACATATCACATCCAGTTTTCCCTGTCAAAGACTGACTGACTGCAGAGCTCCGCGTGAACATGCTCCAAACAGCATGCAAGAGCGACCGCCAAGTTCCAAAGGTATTTATGAACAAGGCTCTGGCGATCGGAAGCCTCAAACACCAGTACAGGTATTCTCATTCAAAGGCGGGTAGGTAAAAATCCGCCCTACCTTCCATTTGTCCTCATCAACACAAAATATTTCCAAAAAAACTCCTCTTTAATGCGGAGACATTTTCATCCCTTGACCACGCATCTCCATGTCGGCCAATAATTCTTACTAGCCAGATCCATATCAATTGTCACCACCTTATGAACTTGCTCCAAACTCACGAGCCGGAAACGGAAACTTCTCGTCACGGTAGATTTGATCAACATCTCCCCCTCGTCTCCTGTAGGCGTTTCTGTTTTCGTTAGGGCAGACGCGGTTGGAGTTTGCTGACGTTCAATAGTGGCCACTGCATCCTGTTGCCAGCCCTCACTGATGGGATCAACCATAGGTACACGGCTGTGCCAATCTTCGCCTTCCACCGCCTCTAAAAAGTCGTCCAGATTGTAAATCTTCTTGCCGTCCTTGATGGTACAAAAGCACAGTCCGCAGACCATTAGAAATAGCAGGAGTGGATCAAGTGAAAGGAAATGTGCACATACCACTTCGACCACAAACCAACAAGCTGATAGATGATCCCTCTGCGCTGGCGATCCTGAATACAACAGAGAAATATATACGCCCTTTGGAATTCTTTTAACGTGGAAAAAAAGGCTCCGATGTGGCATCTGGAAAATGGCGCCTCCCCACTGCACAACATCCACCGTAGGAGCTCCGGAGAGTAAAATTCGAGGAACGGTCAGTTGTTTCTCTTCTCCCTCCCGTAGAATCGTAAGAGTGACTGGAGAAGGCTGTTCAACAGCCTGCCCAGCGGTCGGTACCACAATATCCATCAACGCTCCGCGCATGGACGTAACTGGCCGTCCGTCTGCTGCCAGAATCAAATCTCCTTCCTTTGGCTTGCTTTCATCGTCTTCGCGGCCGCTGATAGCAGGGATACGGCGAACAGTGATAACCTGAAGAGACATTTAGTGTTTAACTTCATCGCATCGGACCTATGGATATATATTATATATACCGTATACTTGTCTCCACCAACAACTCCGCCAATTTCGGTTTCGGCCAGTTGTTGCAACTCTGCCGGTGTATCCTGCAAGTCACTACCGAGCTCCTCAGCCCGTGCCATTGTGATTCGATGAATCCATCTCTCAGAGAGTCCAAGTTCTCGTGCCTGAAGGATACTATTAGCAAGACGCAGTTAAGGCAAAAATGCAGAGATGTATACGCTTACCTTCCAAAAGTAAGTCTCTGTAAGCTCTACATCAACGCATCGCAATAAAGGTAGTGGTAAGCCTTCGGACGGCGGCTGATCAAACCGCCGCGCCGCTTCACGCTGCTGCAGCGCATCCAGAATCTGACGAACTTCACTGCCATCTTCGAGACCCACACCCAAGTAACTATTACTTTCTGGTGATACAAGCCACGCTCCCCTGGCACGCCCGTTCTCATCCACGAGGACACCAGCTTCTTCGCACATGGGTTTTTGCAACCTGGACTCTATATGGTAAGTAAAAGTCTACCAAAGACTCAATAGTTCAATGATATATCAACTTACGTAATGGCATCATCCCAATTCATTGTACGAGGCTTGGGAGGTGAGGTATCGCCAAACATGAAATATCCCTTTGCCTTGACGTGCGTGGTCTGTACTCTTGGAATGTGCTGAAATGAACTATCTGAGTAAACGTTGTCCACAAGAGTCGACACTAATGACAGCATACCGTGATCACATTAATCGTAACGAGGTGGATTTCGTCGCCAGATGTCATTGCCGGTAAAGGCGATATTTCAATAGACTTGACCGGCAAAGGTGGTTGGGGCAAACTGGCCCTCCTCTCACTTGCTTGTGCCGATAGGAAGGACTTATCGTAGCGAACAAACACGATATTATGCATAGGATGCATCCAAACAATCTTGGCCGGCGCAACAAGATTGTTTGCAAACGTTACAAATAGCCGACCTAGTGACGTGGGGACGGTGGACCTATCAACTAGCACGAGCCCAATTTTGTGGTCAACCACGAGTCCAACTCCATCCGACCATTTCGAATTGTGGCCGTCAATGCCAAAGGGAGAATGCGTCTCCACAACACAGAGGGACGGCATGACGGTATTGGCAATTCTACTGTGCTTGTTTTTCGCTGCGTTGATGTGAACGTAGGATGCTGTGCGTGGTGCGGGGAGCAGGGGCTTGCTTGTGGTTGGGAGCTCAGTATAAGCCCAAATTCCAGCCGGATCTGTTTCGCAGCAGTAGGAGAAACCGATTACACACTCTGTCCAAAACTAATGGCATCACAGAGCTTGAAAAAAGCGTACCATCTCGAACTGCCATTCTAAATCTTCCCCATTTGTTCTCCACAACCGCAATTTTGACAATCTCCACATTCTTTTTGGCAAGGGAATAGTATCGAATCGGAACGCGCTTGCCAGTCGACAAATCTTTCATAACCTCGATAAAGGCCTCAATATTTGGTACACGCTTATGCGCTACCGATGTGATAATGCTATACGCAGGGACACCCGCAACGCCAAGCATATGTCCTGCGTCTGCCACAAATACGCCGCCTACTGCATGAAGATAGGACCTTGCGAGTTGATAGCTGAGGGGATGCACAATAGATCCACCCACTTCGACATATCGGTCGGGAGTAATACGATGAAGTGAGTCAACGGGAACATCCACTTCAATAAACTGCTTATCGCGGAAAACTGTGAGAGTAAGATACGGTCTCTTATCCTCAGGCAGTTTATAATCGTTCTCGTCCCATACTGCCGATGTGTCATCGAGCGCCGCTGCCAATTCGACAAAATGATTCACAAGTTTGTCACCAATCTTGATCAGCAAGTCGCCAGTGTATAAAATGCCATCGGCTGGGCCCCCTGGTATGGTGTTCTTGACTGCAAGCAAACCACCTAGCTCTGGTGATTTCTCTCGGAACTTTGTCTCAAATTCTACTGGCAATCCAAGACGCCTGGCTTCATCGTACTGCTTTTGGCTGGGAAGGTGCAGCGAGTGTTATTGGGGACATCAAAGAATCATTACAAAGGCTTTGGCGACTTACACAAACTCGACTTGAAAAGTACCACGAGGAATAGGCTTGTTCTGTCGGAGTAGATTCAGTGCCCTATTCACACGATGAAGGGGCAAGAAGAAACTGGATGCAGCATGTGTTGAACCCCCTAAACAGCGACCGTTCATTGACGACCATCAATAATTTGCCCTGGCCCAAAAGAGTTCACATGTGTTAAACAAACGCACCAGCGTTTAACGCAACGGCTCGTCCATCGATATCGACTACAGGAGATCCACTTGAACCTCCAGATGTGTTTGCTGACGAAGGACGTTAGGACGTTGACCAAAGTACATTATTGGATGTGTGGACGTGGGCAAACGCATACCAGATGCTTGTATGTAAAACCTAATAAACAAAAGTTCAGCATCTGACAAAACGTTGGAATACATTTACCCAACTCACGTATTAAAATCGCAATAAGTGCCGGTTCCCTGCATTAGAAAGTTTTGCTCAGAAACGATTCTCGACATGCCTCATAACCGTATTGCGTCTGTGGTCAGATCTGGTACTCACGTAGTTTGCTACCAGGAGCATGTCTCAGATTAGTATATTGGAAAAGAAAAATGATACCATACGTGATACCATACCTGCCGGCCTATCAATCCGAGCGATAATTCCCGACAATACCGCAAGTTTTTCTCCTGCATCGGAACCGGGCACACGAACGGACAGACCAACACGAGCCGCATCCGGTTCCAAAGGAATGGCCGACAGCTTCATAAATTTAACTTTTGACTTGTCGAATCGTAAAAATCCTGGTATCGGTTATACGCAATTCAGTCTCCCGCCTTCTCCCGCCTGCTGCCATCGGATGGGAATGTGTGTTCACGTACCAAAGTCATGCACAGGATCTCTCCATGCAGGCCACGCTGCCACTTCCTCTGAATTCCTAAAGCATACTTTACCCACAAATGGGGCATCTGCAAAAAAAAAGCAATTCAAATCTCTTGAGATCCCGACTCTTTCTCGCTAATCTCAAAAAAGCCCTTGCATTACCAGTAACAACATGCTTGTTTGTCAAAATAATCCCGTTTTCGACATCCACAATGAACCCGGTCTATATTATCAAATGGATATGTGACATTATCACCAATAAAGCTCCCGATTATTGGCAAGTGCCACCATCCGTATCCGGTACCAAAGACTTACCGCAGTATATGAGCCTACTTGCCAGGTATCAAAGTTGCGCGTGACAATAAAACGGATCGAAACAACCTGTGTGATACGACTGTTGTCAACGTCTTCAACTCTGCTCTCATCAAAACTCAACAGCCATATAAACGTACAGAGTCAATCACACTTTCCAACGTCTCCTTCCATCGATAGCTCTCATCATCCACACTTTCCTTGATGCTACCTTTCCGGGCCCCTATACTAGCAGACGAAATCTTGCCCTCGACTCCAAGCGATACCAAATCCGAAACCAATCCCGAACCAGCGACGGGGGCACCACTCGATCCCCGACGTGCAGCAGCATTCATATCCGCCATGTCGCCCCTCGTACTCTGAGTTGAAGGTGCGGAAGGCGTACTCCGATCAAAGTGTCGCGGCGAGCGAGATAAATGAGTACTACTAGCAGTTACGTAGTTTCGGCAGACAGCAGGATATCGGTTCAAATGCAAAGGCGGTGATAGGGTGTTTACAAAGCGAATACCTCTGCAGGTTTTCTCGCGGGATTCGAAAATGTGCAATGAAGGGTATTTGGATCGTAAATCAGTCAAAGAGGTGTATTGGTTAACGTCGACAGACGACGTGCGTAGTCGGCGGGCAAATATCAACAGTCCTTCGGTCAAAAAAGTTTTACACGAACGGCTTCCAGACATGAAGCATTTGGTAGGTTTTCTTTTTTCTGTTGACCGCAGATATGCCACCAAGTTAAAGATGGATCATGATCTGCCCTTTTTTTTCTTTTGCCCTCTCTCTGTCTCTGTCTTGACCCTCTGTACGTATGCCGATATCTGCGAGTTTTCCTTTTCTCCTAAAGTGTTTTTACCTGCAGGTGCAAGACAGGCCTCTTGTAGTGTTTGATGAGTCTTTAAATACTTTCCCAACGGGTTACGTGGGCTGAGGCAGGAAGAGTGTGTAATGAAAAAGTTCACACGGCAGCTGGTAAGAATCGGGTGTGTGTGGCGAACGAAAACGACGCGATGATGACGGAAGTTCGAAACGCGCATTTATCCAACCACAACTTTGGGAGGGGAGGGGCGAAACCCTTTTTTTTGTTCTTGAACGATCTTTTTGGCTGTAACCCTTCATCATACACACACACTGTTTGCAGCAGCAAATCTGTACATACTGTTATTCATCCTTTCTGGCGATACGGAACGGTACTCCTTGTACCCAGGTACAAGTGACTCACGAAAATATATGGCATATGCTACAGAGTCACCAACCCATGAGATGTGTTAAAAGTCGCCAATTTTACATGAGCATCAACTAGATAACTCTCCCACCAACGATCTGCTAAAACTATGATTCGCAACTGCCCACAGCCAACTTGGCACATCATGACTGTTAGCTCCCCCTCTCTTTACATCTTATTATCGGGAGGACTTGACCCAGTATCCTTCACAAATCCATTCCGCGTAACAGCGACAACAATCTCTCGTCGGGGATGAATCAAGGATCTTCTTGAGGGTTGGAAAGATAGACATCACCCGAAATCTGATCAAGGGATGCATGTCAGTTGAAGGAGCTGCAAAACTCACATGGCATTTGCAACATCTGTCGGAAAGAACTTTTGGTCCAAACATTCATAAATTAAATAGAATCAACTAATTTCCGTTGTGGATAAAAACAGATCACCATCCATTACCTGGGTAATCATCCCCGTCATGCGAATGCTGATCACTGCGACATCAAAGAAAAAATGAAATCGACTCTCCTACGAGCGACACGAGCAGGATTTGAACCTGCGCGGGCAGAGCCCATCAGATTTCGAGTCTGACGCCTTAACCACTCGGCCATCGTGTCCGATATATTCAATAAGAGTTGTGTGGTCCATGACTCTTTGAACAATTCGAAATGTGTGAATTGAGACCGGGCAGAATAGAAGTATCAAAGATGCACACAAAAATTCAAACAGTCAAAACGTCCACAAAACAAAAGTAAATTTTCTTCTCAACTAGAGTCCACAGTCCACCGGCGTACTACACAACGTCGCACTGACAGATCCTAGCTTAACTATACAAGACAGCTAAAAAATACCAAGCTACAAGTTCCCATTTTGCTCAGCAAATACAGGAAAGAAATCCAACAAAACTGATCAACAGTGCTATTTGCCTCGTCTAGCCTGCAAGACAATCCTTGTCCGTGCGCGCGCGATTGCTCTTCCAACGCCTAAACTCACAAAAAAGAAAGGTTTCCGGTTTTCTACATACTCTCCGCAACCCTGAAACTATATACAATACTGATTGTCCTTCAGTCATTTTAAACTTTACATAACGATACAGATGCGGATGCTGGTGCCAGTTGCGCAATGTGGATGCCTTTTTGCTGGTATGCGTAGAGTCGAGCCTTTTTGCCAAATCTCATCTATACTCGCGTCTAGTATAGGGGCACAGGGGGATTCGCAGCCATCAAATCCTCCTTGTAATCGTCCTTGTACTTGTGTTGTTGAAGCTGATTAAAGTGGAATCCACCCATCATTTTGCTAATCTCGGTGGTGGGAGTGATGGGCGTCCGAGGGCCAGCCTCTTCAACCCAGCTTGGAATGTTTGAGTACGGGTGGAAGCTTCTCCGACCATCAGGAGCGTGAGGAGACCGGTTGTCTGGAGAGACAAGGTCATGAATGGGCGCTCCAGGCCCGCTAACTGACGTTGCCGAGGAAGAAGGTGGACTCTGTGGAGACAACGAGGGAGGTGATTGGACATCGACCGGGGGAGGAACATGATGGTGGCTTGCAGCGCTCGTTCCCATGGCGGACTGATCAATTTCGTCAAAATCGATAGAGTTGTAAGAGGATGCAGTCGCGTTCGTTCCCGTTGTCGTGAAAGAAGAGTCGGACTCTGCCAGAGAATGCGCCCGAGCCCGGTTCCAATGAGATCCATCACCGCCGTGTCCCCGCTGGACAAAGTCTAGCCCACCTGGACCGGTGGGTGCGGACATGCTGGCTCCGCCAGGCATGTGCGAATGGTAATGTGGCGATGGAATCGGTATCCCCGGACTTCCAGGAGACATCATCTGCCCTCCAGGCGTCACAGGCGAGTACATTGGTGACGTCATTCCGTACGGCGACATGGGCGATGTCATGGGTCCGTAAAATTCGGGACGACGGCCAAAGTGCATGTCCACGGGGAAAATGCGCAGAGCGTCCAAGTTGCCATCAGCATAGTGGCCGGGACTGCGGCCTCTGACCACGAGCGGAGCAGACTCTGTCATGGCAATCTTGTACTGTTGTCCATTTTCAGTCTGAGCAAAGAGCTCAATAATCAAAATGTAGTACTGTTGAGCGGCTCTGCGCTTGCCATTGTTGGCCGTTGCTGTTTTGAACTGCAGGCGCTCAAAGGTGGCGACGAGCTGGTTTGTGCCGATGCCATTGTACTGGTGAGGGTTTCCACCCGAACGCACAACCTTTGGCTGTGGGATGAGTTGCGGTCCCTTGTCGCGCTTGGGTGTGTGCTGCACGAGTTCAATCTTCTTTTCCCCGTTTGCTACACGAGCAGAAATGCCAAGTGCGAATCCAGTCACCGTGTAGAGGTTGTTATCCATCTCCATGAGACAAGGCAATTCAACCTCTTGGCCGTGGGCATCGGCAGCCGAAAAGGCGCTCGACACTTGAAAGTAATTTCGACGGTAGCATGTCCAGTCATTGTCCGCGAGAAAGAAGCCGCGATCGACTTTGGGGTTGATCCGCAGTGTGTACAATCGAGTCCGATCAATGCTGTAAATGTTGTAGATTTGCTTCGTTGGCTTGAAAAATGGGCCGACGCTGACCGCAAAGGATCCCATATGATCGCCGCGTCGTCGCCGAGTCGGCGATGGCATGGCTGGGAGCGAAAAGTATGAAGTCGACGGGCCAGCCGCTTCGTACGGCCCTCTTGTCACAGCCGTATCAATGCAAAGCTTTCGCGACGCATAGTCGGCTGGCATGGGAACCGTAGGCGAGCCCATCATTGTCTGTCCCTGCGCCTGCGCTTGGGAAGACGTGTACGGCCTACAAACATCCATACATTTTAAAATCTCCATTACCATCAGAGTCTCGATCATACACGTGACTTACAAGGAATGGCCGCTAGGGACACTCGCACTCTGCGGGTGTTGCTGGTGTTGCTGCTGGTGTTGCTGTTGCTGTTGTTGTTGCGGCATGTGAGGACGTTGCAATGACCGTGGGCTCGTTGATGACTGCTGAAGGTACAGACTGTTCTGGTCAACAGATACAGCGGCCATTACAGCAAGGAAATCTTGTCGTCAAAAGAGTAGCAAAAGGAAGCGATTTAAAGTGTATAAGTCCGATGATGCGTGTGTGCGGATGTGCGTGTGTGTGCGTGTGCAGAATCCCCGTTGTTTGTTGTTGAGTAGCAGAAATACAAAAGAGGCGAAAAAGAAAGCGTATAATGACCAAGAGGTTTGTGTGTGTGTGTGTGTGAAATGCGATATGAGATGGGAAAGAGCGTAAAATGAGGAGGGGGAAATATCCAAGTGAACCTGCCCTTTGAAATAAGCCCGATTGTCCAACAGAAAGTCGTGTGTGTGTTCGAAAAGTGTGGTCGTGTGTGTCCGTATGGGAAGGAAGGATGAGAAGGGAAAAGGGGGAAAAAGGGAGAGGAGAGAGAGTTTTATAAAAGGATAGAAAATCTTAAAGAGTTGCAAGTAGTAGACGCTCTCAACCCAAACTGTTAGAATTCCCTTCTTTCTAATTCAAGGGAAAAAGAGAGAGAGAAAAGAAAGATTCAGGGATAATTCCTCTCTTTCTATTTGGGTAAGAGAGAGAGAGAGAGAGAGAGAGAGATCTTTAAAGAGAGCAATACGCCATCTGAAGAGCCCCCCCCCCCCCCTCTTTCCCAACAACAAAACACATTTTGGTTTTTTTCCCACGTTAAAACACAAACATCTACTCTGATGGACGTGGTTGAGTGGTGAGCAATGTAATGAAAATGGACCAAGTAGAAAAGAGAGGCAGAGAGAGAGATGAGAGAGATACTTTCTGAAACAAAGCGCTTGCCACCCAACAAGCAGCCATCTCAAACAACGGAGAAAAAGGAGCTATCGCCTTGCATGTGGTTGCACTATTTACTTGTTATGGTTAAATGGACGCGTGCTTCCTTCCTATACTGGTAAACAAGCATTCGAATTCACCATGCAAAGCCGCACCCTTGTACAACATGGGGCAACTCTGGTCAAAGGGATTCGAAACAAATGATTTTCACTAGTTTTCCATAAGCTACATCCAAATAGCAACTTGCCCTTTTCAGTAACAACTCCCCCCCCACTAAAATTTGTTACCAAGATACGGAACGCAAGGTAATTTATTCCAAATAAAAACTTGGGGAAAATATCCCATATCGCCCTCATGTCAAGTGAGAAATATTAAAAAATCATCTTTATGCAAAATGTTTTTTTTTTTTTGCTCACATGTCGTGGACCCAGCCCAACGGCACACTTCAAGTTTGCATGGCATACCGTAAACTCCTTGAAATGATTTTGTCTGTTTATTTCTGCATATTCCCCGCTTTGGTAAATACGCAGTTTCTCACTCAGCAAAAAGTTAATTTTTATTCCTTGTCTATTTCTCATGACGCGCTTATTGCTTGCTTACGTACGAGCGCGTCTCTCTCTGCATTGCACGCTTGCGCTTTCATGGTTTCCTTCTGCACGGCCACTCCAACTCGCGCACAAGGGTGCACACCTGGGTGCACAATTGTTCTAGTGTCTGCTCATATTTCTTTCAGGTCAATCTCAACATCCTCCTCGTGATCATACGCCGCCGCACTGAGAGCCGGGCTGACGGTGCGATCGCTCGTTATGAATTCAGTGTCCGACAGCTTTGACAAAGGGAAAAACGGAATAAAAAAAGTTGCTCTCAAATTACAGGGTAGTCTGTATTGTTTTCTTTTTTTTGCTTTACCTGTCCAGGTCGATTGAGGTTCATGTAACTTGCCTCTTGATCAGAGTGTGCGGCGTCGATCATTTCTTCAATTCTATTTGCAAGCAGAGTAAATGAGCATTGCACAAGCCGTGTACCATCATTCTCAATAACTACGCACTCTTCCTCTTCAGGTGTCACATTCTTGTCAGCTGCTTGCTTTGGTTGATCAACGGCATGTCGATTTCTTTGTGTCCCAAGCAGACTTTCATCCTCTTCTTCAAATGATCCCAAAATGGCATCCATCTTTTCCAGCATATCATCCTCTCCACTCTCCTCATCGTCATCTGTGGATGCTTTACCACGTCCTTAGCAACACAAGTTGGAAGAATGCGCGGAAATGACTTACCTGGCGTTGATTTAGAGCCCAGCAGAGGGAATTGCGATGCTGGCGCAGCTGGGAGCGTTGGGGGTGGCGGAGGTGGTAGTCGGGTGGTAGGTGGTGGGCCAGACGGTGTGGCAACAGGTGAGATGGGAATAGGAGAGGGTGGTGGCCATGAAGATGCTAAGCAAACGTATCTTTAGCAACAAGCATTCGAGTATAACAAGCTGCTATGTGAATCTACGCACTCGATTTTGATTGTGGTACTGGTACTGACTGCAAACACCAACTTAGTTACAATATTTCCTCAACAAAAAAATGGAGGTTTACCTTGATGGGTCGCAATTGTTGTGACCCGCGATTGTCCAACAAGTGTAAGAGTAGTGGCTTGTCTTTGTCCTCCTTCTCAGGAAGGTTGAGGGCAGAGTGTACTTCAACGTCGTTCAGAACCAGATCTGTCTGATAATAGATAGGCTTAGCATATGAGGGCTTTGCACCATCGTAAACATTGACTCTACAGATGTGGAGATGCAGCGCTCACCATGCTGGCTTCAGGGTCAAACACTGCAAGAGTATACTCAAGATCGAGATGTTTGAGAAAGTCGCGCACTAAAGCAAGAGCTATTCGGCCTATCGAATGGGTGATCGGCACAACTGATGAGAAACCAAAGCCAGCAAGATCGCCGAGTCCATGCACATACCATCCGGTGACGCATGCAAGGCTTGAACTTTGCCATTTTCAAGAGGTAAAGGCTTGGCTTCATTCTGAAGTACACTGAAAACAGAGGATCGTAGTTGGGCCTATTTGCCGACGCAGGGAATAGGAGAGCCACCATGCTGTTTGTTACTCATATACTCAAAGTACCAGCATGTATTCCCCCTTCTACATACCTTGATCTTGCCCAATACGCCTCGCTTGGCCAGAGCGTCTGACACGAGCGCTTTCAGCGAGGTAATCTCATCGGTAGCCATAGTCTTGATCGCGGTCAGGCAAAACCTGGGGACCAGCGTGAGAATCTCATGGCTTACTTGACCCACACGCGCCATATTGGAGCCAGAATGCCGGGACATAGTGACACATTGGGGGCGGTGCACGTAAGCACTCGCTGGCTGTTTTTGCAAACACTCATCAAGCAACGATTGTGCTGAACTCAGCGTGTAAACAGCCTTTGACTGGGTTGGCGACTGCACATTTGTGGTAATGCATTACATAAAGAGTCTAAAGGAGCGAGCTCTATAGAGCTGAAGTTTGTTTTACGATGGACCATGGCTCACGCTGGATTCTTGGTGGAATGCACAGGAGACCTTCCACAGAGAGGATTTGCAGAACTTGTTATACGGCATTCCATATTAGTCCCCAATATGACATCCTTTATGTCTATGGACCAACTTGTCGGTGCGTTCTATGAGAGACCGAGTGTGAATTCGTTTGGATGCACTTGACCTGATACAAAATGCAGACCAAGCATGCGACACTGAATACGCTGAACCAAATGTCGCACTCATGCTCGAGATATGCGATCTTATCAATCAAAAAGGAAGAAGCTTGTACGTTTGATGACGCCTGGAGGATATTTCCGGAATTTGACTGACCATAGCTTAATGGTGGGACAGGCCTCGAGAAGCTGCTCTTGCAATTGTCCGCAATGTAAACAGTCGAAATAACCAGTCAGCATTACACGCGCTTATGGTATTAGGGCTTTGAAATCCAAGAATGAATGCCGGGTAGTGTACTGATTGATGTGCTTCAGTTGCTAGATTACTGCGTCAAGAATTGTGGTTATCCCTTCCATCTCATCATATCCACCAAGGAATTCCTAAATGAGTTAGTACGACGATTTCCGGAGCGTCCCGCGGTTTGTGTCTATCAGCCATTCTTTTCAATCGCTTGCAATAAAAAACTGATGGGAATTACCGACAGAACGTCAATATGGTCCAACATCGCATTCTTGAGCTTATTCAACAATGGAACGCGACACTGTGTGTCACATCTCGCTACAAGGACGATTTCAAGCATATTAATGATATGTATCGGCTGTTATCGTACAAAGGTATAATATCACACCTGCTTGCTGGCCGTTATCACTGCGCAATCATTGAACTGCATCTTGTCTAGGATATCGGTTTCCACCTCTTTCAAAGGATGCAGAAGCCGTGCTGAACCCTTCTCATGTAAGCATTGGCTTTAAAAGCTTGTACGCTGCACAACGAATGACGATTCTGGTGAATACACTAGACCTTTAAAACTGAGGAAGAGCTGGAGCAGGAGGACAAGATCGCACAAGGAGCAGTAAGTATTCGAATCTTTGGATTTTTAACTGTGAATCATGCGTTTTAATGTTGGATCTTGTAGAAACTGCAAGAACTTCTTCGACAAGGAACACCGGCGGCATTAGAACAAGCTAATGATCTAATGAAGATCATGTCGGGATATGTACGTGTTTGAAAAAGCCATTTCTATTTGTGTGGATGAAGCGAAATTGACGAAAGAGATAGGATACAGAGCGTGTTCCCAACTATAAAAAACAAGTGGAAGAAGAATTGAACCGAATCGAGCAGAGAGCGATACTACTGAACGATATTTTGATCCAAAAATCACCCGAGGATCGATGGAGGCCCGATTCAACTGTTGAGGTTGATAGAATGAATATCTTTGATGCCGGGATGACCATTGACAATGAGGCATTCTGCAGGAATTGCTAGGGAGCGCCAAATCGGCCCAATCCAGGATACAGAAACTGATTTCAGGCGGGGAGGAGGATGAAAAGATGGGTAAGGTCCCAACCAGGTCTGATTTCTGATAGCCATGCAACAAATATTTACATTTGGCTCTATGCACAGGACGCCTCTTGGAGCTCAATGACCTGATAAATATGGTCATTAACAAACATGCCGATTTCAAAGCCGGAAACCCCATTGAGGGAGCTGTTCAAAAGAGGTGAACCAAGTTGTGAACCAATAACGTTGTAGCAAAACTCCTGACAAATCGCCGCAATGCCGTGTACAGCGCTGTGTCCCCGTCAAGGAAAGACACGAACCAAGTCAAACCCGGCCCTGTGAGTCTCATTGATTTAGACGACTGGGGGGCTCCTGGACCAGCAACTCCACCCATTGCATCGCCACCGACCGGCTCACCGCAAAAGCAGGAGCCACAGCAACAACATCAACAAGCTGGTGGACTTGGCGGTTAGTTAAATGTCTTACGCTGCACATACTAGAGGAGCGATCACTAACCAGCGTACTAGGTCTTCTCGATGATCTCAGTTCCCTCAACTTTACGGTAAGCAACAGGCCAGTCTCTCAACTTTTGTGTGACTCTGTTGTAATCTTGTTCTAGGCCACCCCTGCTGTACCATCATCATCATCTAGTGTTCCCCCCAATTTTGGCCCGTCACTCATTGACGGCTCATCAGGACCGGGCTTCCCTTCATTGCAGCCACTTGGCACACCGGGCTCGGGAGCGAGGAGCCCAGCGTTGGTTGGACAACCGATCCGACCGCAGGGTCAAGCGCCACCGATTGCGGGAGGCCAGACTCTGGCTTCCTTTGGCGGTTACTCGTCAGGTTCGATTGAAATTTGGAAACATGAGTCAAATGGAATACATGCATACTTATATCGACGGTTATCATTGATAGGTAATACCCCACAAAATGCTGGAACACCGCAGGCACGTCCTGCAGTACCGTCGAGTAAGGACACGTCTTGCCTTCGTGTCATTCCTAGTCCATCACTGACTTCTGATATTGTGCAAAAGATTTGGGATGGGCAGCTGCACCGTCTTCTGTGCCAGGCACCCCACCGTTCCAGTCCAAAGTCGATCCTTTTGGTGGTGTGGATTTGTTTGGCAAACTTGCGGGAATATCGCAAGGTAGGATTGCAAGTGCAGGATGCATTTACATTATACTCTTTGCTTAACATGCTATGAATTTTTCAGCGGGTTCGGCCCCTGCAACACCACCACCTTTGAGTGCTCCAGGCACACCGTCTGGGGGAGCTACTGGGGTGTCAAATGTGCAGCAAAAGAAGGAAGGTATGCACCTGAAGATCTTGTGATAAGCCCTTTTTCAAAACTAAAAGTTTTCATGACTTTTGTCTTGACCAGTCATGATTTTCGATAAGAATGGTCTGCAAGTCAAGTATCGCTTGTCATGGAAGGGGAACGCATGGGCGGCTCAGGCAGTGTTTATCAATGTCACGCCCGTTCCCTTTACGAACCTTGTATTCCAGGTGGCGGCTCCAAAGGTAGTTATAAACATAAGTGTGTACATATCCTTAATTCTGACGTTGGTATTCGTTTATAGTCGATGACATTGAACATGGAGCCTGCTTCGGGTACGGTTCTACCCCCATTAAATCAAGGACAGGTTACGCAAGGAATGCAAATTGTGAATCCAAACAAGGTAATCGACAGGTGTGCATTGATTTGTTTACAAGCACCATCCTCACCCATGGTCTTCTAGGAACCTCTTCGGATACGATTTAAATTGCAGTATGCTGTGAATGGCGCTGTAGTGAATGAGCAAGGAGACTATGCCGAGAGTTAATGAGGCTGTCGTTGAAAAAAAGACGTGATATTCTGTGACCTTGTCGACGGTGCCTGCCTAATTATCAAAGCATCATTATACTGCACTGCGCGATGTGTTTCAAAACAGAGATGCAATGCAGAAATTCCTCCCGACCGCCACAACTTTTCAAAACGTCGTCGTTTTTTTAGATGAATAACTGAATGATACACCTGGATTTGAATGCACCATGAGAAGATCAATTTGTGGAAGAGTACACTCAGCCTACTGCATATTCGGATCGCTTAGAGAATATCCGGTCCTTCCATATCCAGCATCTGTTGCTCCTTCATATCACAACATTAACGTGGAAGCTTATCGGTCACATGATGTAGTACAAAGTGCACAGACTCAAATTTGAGAATGTTGTTGATTTGGGTTGTTTTTCACACCAAGCCCTTTGCCATTCCCTCCCTTCCCACAGCCTCCGTGTCTTTTTTTGAAAATTGAGATGCATCTCCGAGTAGGGATTGCTGGCGTGCGGTATGCATTGAGAAGGGGCGCAAAGGTACAGGCATCTCTGACCGACGCATGGGTTATGGTCGTGCTGATTGTGTTTTGCTCAGGTGCAGGGGAGAGCGTTTGCAAATGTAGCTGGACTGACTTTGAAAACGCCAAGAGCACCATTGGTAAGTTACATTCGCACACGCACAAGCGTAAACCCGAATGGGCTTTTTTCTGAGCATATTGTAACGTCAACAGGTAGCGGTATCGGCGACGACAAACGTTGTTCGGGGCCGTAACTTTCATACCCGCCCACCTTCTCAAAAAAACGTTCCTTTTTTGCTGGCTGATATTGGAGAGGGGATCACAGAGTGCGAGCTCATTCAGTGGTACGTGAAAAAGTTAATGGGATATAATAAAACGTTTGGATGCTAAACAATAATTCAACGTCCAACGTAGGTTTGTCAAGGAGGGAGATCAAGTCGAGCAGTTTGCTAAAATATGCGAAGTGCAATCAGACAAGGCCGCGGTGGAAATCACCTCCAGATACGATGGGGTCATCAAAAAACTTCATTATGCCGCTGGGGACGTTGCGCGCGTGGGTGCACCTCTGGTCGATATTGAAACCGACGAAGTTCCTGATGGGTCAACTGAGCCGTCACCATCTATGGCTGCTGCTCCTGCCGAAGCGGTGTTGCCTTCAGCAGCCGCTGCTAGGGAGGGTGATAAGAAGCTTCCTACAGGGAGTGAAGGTGGATACCTTCTGGCGACTCCTGCGGTACGAAGGATTGCACGGGAACATAATGTAGACCTGGTAAAAATTGCGGGGACTGGACCAAACGGACGGGTTCTTAAAGGAGATATCCTTGCTTTTGTCAGTGGAACGGGTACTACTGCGGCATCTGTACCATCGCAACCTGGTAAGCCTCCAAAAGATGTAAAGGTTAAGATGGTCCGTATTTTTGACTGATGATATCCCGTATTTTGTAGCTGCACCTGCAACGCAGAAGAAACCGTCACCGGTTATTGTCACTGCAGAAGACCGCATTGTCCCACTCGGACCGATCCAGAAAGCCATGTTCAAGTCCATGACGCGGTCTCTCCAAATACCACACTTTGGATTCTCTGATGAAATCATCCTGAACGCGGCGTCAGCGTATCGCTCGTCAATCAACCACTACCTCAAGAATGCACCATCTGGTCAATACCCGATTAAAAAAATTTCGTACATGCCCATTTTTATGAAGGCTTTGTCGATGGCGTTGCGTCAGTACCCGATTTTGAATGCGTGCTTGATTAATGCGGAGGATGCCTCCAAGGCCCAATTGCAATATCGTGGGGCGCACAATATTGGTATTGCGATGGACACGCCGCAAGGGTAGGTTTGACCGTTTCTTTTACCTGATTTAACCGCAAAGACCTTTTAATCATTAATGTTTGCCCTCACCTAGACTTATTGTCCCCAACGTGAAAAACGTAGAGCAAAAGTCCATTATCGATATCGCAGTGGATCTTGAGCGCTTAAAGGAGGCTGGTAAACGGAACGCAATCTCGCCCGCGGATCTCAAAGACGGCACCATTACGTTATCCAATGTTGGTAACATTGGTGGTACAGTTCTTCACCCTGTCCTAGTATCTTCAGAAGTCTGCATTGGAGCCATCGGAAAAGTTCAGCGCCTCCCGCGCTATGAGACAGTCCATGACGCGGAAACCGGCAAGAAAAGGGAAATTATTGTTCCAAAGGAAATCTTGAATGTTAGTTTCAATGCAGACCACCGGGTCATTGACGGGGCAACGGTTGCCCGTTTTGTCCAGCTTTGGAAAAGATATTTGGAAGAACCGGCGACATTGGCGGCAGAGTTGCGATAATGTAGATACAATTTTGTAGACAGGATCATCCCCCATTTTTTGAAACTGATTTTCATAGAGATGTAGAAAAATATACTCTCAAAACTAACAACTTTTTGGTGCCAATAAAATTATCTATCCGAATTCACTCACATTATATTTACAATGATGTGCCCAACAATCACGTTAGCTTCAACCCATCATTCTCAATCAATAACTCCACCAAAGGTTGCCAATCAGTATCATTCCCAGCATTAATCGACTTGAAAAAAGCCCCTGCAGCCGCCTCCGCCTGTCCAGTATGTAAGAAACTAAACGCAAGAAGATGCTGCGCTTCTCGTTTTGTTCGATCATTTCGTAGAGCCGGTGTAACGCATTCTATAACGGCATGGTAGTCGTGAATTTTGTAGTATCCTCGTGCTGCGTATAACCATCCTAGTGCATCTGAGACAGTTGAAGATGATAAGCTATTGAACTGGCAGAGGGCTAACTGAATCAAACGTTTACCTTTGGGACAGAATCCAACATTTTGAATCAGTGTATCTCGTACTGACTTTCGTTGTTCCATTCTTCCGAACGAGGCTGGTGGCCAACAAGGCGAGCAACAGCAACATCCAAAACGCGCTGTTCAAGATCAGCTTACTCAACGCATCACGTGAGCCTATGTCTGTTATTTTTGACTCCTTCGTAATCGAGTCCTTTCTGCCACAATTCGCAGCAGTCTTTCCACAACAATGGCACAAGGAGGATTAAAGAAATCAGGTGCAAGCAAACCATCGTTAGCAACCAAAAAGGCCCAAAAGCCATCTCTGGGTCCGAAAAAGAGGGAAGGTAATGTCTCGAGTCCACTTTGGTTTAAACTGCACATAAGAACAGTCTCGCTCAATTCCGTTTATGGGTTTCGTCACTTAGGAAAATACATTGCACCAAAATCAAAAGCCCTTATAACGCAGAAAAATCTTCAAAAGAAACTCGCTGCAAAGGCCATTGTGCAAACTGAGCAACTCATGGCCGCTCGGGCTGGGGCAACTGGCAAATTGACCATCATGAAGAGTGTAGCGCAAAAGGCAAAGGCGGAACAGGACAAGGCGAAAAAGGGCAAAAAGTGAAAAGAATTGGAGTGCGCACTGGGAGGATTGGGAGTGGGAGGAAGGCGATGGAAATTCTTTATTTTTTTTCATATATGTATGTGTAGATTATCTGTTGGCTTGCTTTATTATTCCTGTACATGTTTGAAAGAATGCCATACTACTAGACTGTTCCAGTCCCTGGTTGTGAATCCTGCATCTTTTTTCGAATGGTCCGGTAGATTGCCGTGCGATAGACTGCCCCAATCCCCGGTTGTGAATCCTGCATCTGTTTCGACGGTCTCGTTTTTTCCTCGTCCCTCCGTCTCTGCATGCAAGCAGTGTCTTGTGCGCATCGTCTTGGTCCCAGGAAGTGCTCGACTTTCATGGAAAGTGCTGGGAGGGGTTGTTGATTGGCTGTCTCGTCTACGGCAAAATGAGGCTTGCAATGACGAATTGCAAGACAGGATTCAGCATTCTAGATCAATGCCTCTGGCGATCATGTTTCTGATTCTTTCCTCGTTCCCTCTTCTTGCCTTGCTGCATTACCCTCAAGATCCACCTCTCCTTCCTCAACTTCGCACTTGCCATACTTTTTTTTACTCTTTTGTGCTTGTCTCTTCTTTCGTTTCTGCTCTTTAGATATTTGCTGCGCACGACGGGACAGATCACCGTTAATCATTTCATCCAGCTTGAGACGGAGGAGTTTGCGTGCTTCTTTACGATTTGCTGCCAGTTCTCGAAATCGCTGGGACTGGCAGAAATCAGACAGGATTAGTTGCTTGTAGACTTGACTGAGAACGCGCAACAGAAACTTTAGTCACCTCTACCATAATTCCTGTCGGAACATGCTTCAATTGCACCCGATGTCGGCATTTATTGATTTTTTGACCTCCAGGTCCAGAGCCTTTCACAAAACTTTCTTCCAAGTCTGTCTCGTTCAGCACAATCGCCTGCTTCACCCTCAAGGCTGGTTGAGGTGACGTGTCTTCGGGTAAAGTTTTAGAAGAGAGCGCTTCAGAAGCTGGTCCAGAGGTTGTTGGTGTGTCGACTGGCTCTGGAGCGGGAGAATTGGCGGTAAGAGGAGTTGAGGACGCTTGTCGACGGGGTACGGGTGGGTGAGCCCGTAATGTGTTTAGGAAACTGAACGCTGATGGAACAAGGATCCGTGTCGTGCTCCGATGCGACCATATTGCACTACTGTGTCGTCCATGGCTTCTAATTATTATCGCTAGGGGTGGACAGTTGAACATGTCGAGATTTATAGATCATGAAAATCGTAATTGCGTGCTTGCTGGAGTTGCGCCACACTGGGATGTGGCTGGACTTAGGTGAGCAGCATAAGCATCCAAGTTGAAGTGACAAGTTGGACGAGCTGTGAATCTCCACAAGCCGTATTTTTATTTCTGCCCAATGTAATAAAGATGCTGCCTGCGATAAACATCTTTCAAAGTGTACCACGTCCTCATCGTATCCAGCGGCAACAGCGGCAAAGGTGATGAACACCGTTCCAGTGCATTCGGTGTTTTTGTATCCAGCAACTGCTATTGTAGATGTCCGGGGTCCTCCTTCCCTGCACAACCTGGCTTGGCATCTGATGTTGCATAAAAATCCCTGCCCTCCCAGTTCGGCCAATGAACATGCCACGGTCGGCGTTTTGTCAGTAATATCCGTTACAGTACTTCCACGCTCCCCCTCCTCCATAATTATAAAGCGTGTCCTCCGTAAACAACGCAGTCCCGGTAGAGTTTGAAACACCGGCGGCTCAAATGGCTACCGTTCTGTTCGCACCGATAGCATTCCAGTGGGAGCCGGGTATACTGGCGTCCACCAACACACGACGCGAAGACTGCCCGCCCTATCTGTTCAAGAAGGTACGTAAATAGTGGTGCACTGCCGATTACCAGGGGCCGATCAGTGAAAGCACCTACCTTGAGCGACAACAAAGGTCCTCGCGCTCCATCGGTTCCGTGCCGTCGTAGCAAAGAGATTCTTCCTTTATGTATGAGGCCATGGCCGATCTCACCGTTTGAAGAATGATCTAAAGGTTCAACCGAGGTCGAATTTGCACAGTTCGGGAACTTGAGTTTCCCTTGTTATTGCTAGGTCAAACTAAACTCAGAAAGATGTGATCCTTTTCGTTGCCATGGAATGTAGTAATCGGCTTCTGGGAAATGCAGGAAAACACCAAGAAGGCGGATATATCTTCCAAGGCTACGAGAGGATCATAATTCAGTTCGAGGCTGTAATAGCAACGGAAGGACAGGATTTCTAAAGTTTTTAAACCGTGCGTGGACGAAAATTTCACAAAACAGAGGCAGACCTCTGTTCGTTATAAACAATGAGCGTGATAAAAGGAGCTTCAAGCACATTGATGTCAGGACAGCGTGATGGGGGATTCATACTTTTCTGTCCGTCTGTCATGTGAATAACAGTGATACCATGACCCATCACTCTACCTACTTGTAACTCTTCCTAGAGATGAGGGTGTTTGGAGAGGCACCAGCGCTGCCGCTTGGGATCCAGCACTGGCTTGTGTGTTTAATGACGCATGTCGTGTGCCAGAAACTTGAACTTGAAGCAAGGCCAACCATGGTCGAGATGGAGGTTTATGACCTAGACACTTGTAGTCACCACAAGTAGCTTTGACCAAGTAACTACAACATTGGGCTGGGCATTTACCCACCAACTTTGGTCTTTGATAGTTGGCTCGGCCATCGAACTTGCGAATATCGGGAGAATATCGGGAGCGAACGTCTTCTTACGAGCTCCTGTTAGAAACGGTTGATGTCTGTGTGTCTTTTCGACCCCAACGAGGGTTGTAGCGTGCGAGTATCGAGAAACGATTGAAGAATGCATGCTCTCCCTTGCAGATTAACGATTACAGCAGTTTACCTCTGAATCCATCCAGGTCGAGCGAGGAGATGGTTTGGTGTTCAGCCATGTCGTCTATTTCGTTTGCAAGTTGGTCTAAAGTGCCGGTGCCATTCGTTTCGATCGATGTCCAATCGGTGTAGTTACTGCCATGTCCTCTTGTATTCTCGTTACGTTACCGACATTTTTTTTTTTAATTACATGCGAGGTGGTCAAGCCTCGTCATCTCACTTAATGCGCTACATCGCCCATGCATATTGAGAGAAATGTTGAAAAGATTCAAAAAACAAAACTCCCCAAATCCCACCGAAAATTGCCGAAACCCACAAAAAAAGCAAACTAGCCCGTCCTCATTCCTTTGCTACTCTGGTGTGTGTGTTCAGTGGGACGCCTTCAAATGGAACTCATGGAACTCATTCCACCGAATGACCATATCCAAGACATCTTTCATGCTTTTCCCGCCGCCCAATAACTTTTGTTTGGTTTTCCCAGAAAGTTACAGGCGGCAATTCCCACATAAGGATTTTCAAATGCACCGCCCCATCCAGCTTGTGGCCAAACGGTTTGACATCAAGGAGAGGGTCGACCTCGCACTGCATGCGCTCCCTACTAGTTGCACCGATGCATTCATCGGAGTGCTGGATCGATTTCAACGATACGTTGTTGTGTGAATTTCAAACCCCATGCCCACATATAATTCAATTCGATCGGCTTGTTCGGTCATACGGTGATGCAAGTTGTCGCATTGGTCATCTGTAGAAACGCTCTGTCATGCTCGACATGGATTGAATCCAATTCAAAAGAACCGGTGCATCAGTAGATGGTGGAGTGTCCAGATGAGCTTTGATCTTTGTTCATATTCGAAAAACTGGGTGTACTCTGAAAGGACTGCAGTCAGCATTTGATTTGCAGTGAGATAATTCAAATTCGAAGAACTGTGGTAACGCGCTTGGATGAGTGAATCTTGAAGCGAACGATGTTAGGGGCTGCGTCCGTTCGCTACATTTTCGATGTGTTGTGACATAATTCAAATGCGAAAAACTGTGAATCCCAAGAACGGGCAGTGGTAGAGCAATTGATCTGGTAGTCACAAGAAAGGGAGCTTCTATGCCGCCGCCATCTGGAAGGGATTGGTATTCATAGAAGAGACCTGTATAAAAGAAGGGCCATGAACAGAAGAAACTCGCGGCAGGCAAGATAGCTAGCAGCGACGTCACAACCCAAGAACTAGCTTCTGAACACTAACTTTTGGTTAACACAGGAACCCACCTCAGTGGACCAATCACCCTGCGTGCGTCTCTTGGTTCACCCCAGCCGAATCTCTTTTGCCTCTTGCCACCACACTTGCAATCCCCTACCAAGGTCTCTCGTCCTCACGCACATGAGAACACTGAACTCTGCCTACGACTAGGTCTTTAATTCCGTTAGAGGTCGAGCGATTGAGCCGGTAGTCCCAAGAAGGAGGGCTTTTAGCTCAGTGTAGACCATTTGTTGTCTTTTTCCACTCGGTGCACTCCAATTACTTCCATGGTAGGCCCTCACCACCGAGTGATACTCGGTGGAAACTGACTAGCGCTTACACCATGAAAGTAAGCAAACGATAAATATGGCAACATGATAGCAGAGGGTGATAACCTATAATTACATTTCCAATTGATTAGGCTTCAACCGAGAAGCTATTGTGTGGGTTTGTTCTCTTTTGCTCTCATCTGAACCACAAGACTCTGTATTGAATCAGTGATCCTAAAGATGTAGCAGTGCTATCCCACAAACCGAGCTAGCAGCTGAGAAGTGAGAGGTGAGTCCAAAATGCTCAACATGCTCCAATTTCCGGACTCGCCGTCCTCTTCAAATAATAAGCCTTGATTTGTCAAAATCCGTTTGCTTTTAGGTCTTGTAAGGTGGCAATCGGTGATCTTACTGTGACCATTGTTGGCCCACATAACCTACCACTCCTACACGGTTAATCGCCGGGCACTCTTTTATGGCACACACCAACTGAGATTGCAATCATGTATTTAACAGCACTTGCAAAAGAAAGTAACATACGGATAGGATCTTCTGGCTTGACTGCCGTGTGGCAGAGAGCGTCAACTTGTTCGGGGAAGCCCTTTAAGCTCAAGCTACTAAGCATTGGTTGAAAGACCAGTGGGGCCCTTCCTAGGGTTGGTAATAATGTTTTGAGATCGGGTAATCCGCAGCCAAGCTCCTAAAACTTGCTTCTCAAGTCATGGCGAAGGGTTCAAGGACTGTAAGACGTACCGCGCAAGCGGAATATATACAGTCTAGCCCACGGGAAACTGTGCGAGAGTGAGTAGGCTAATTGATTCACACTTGATATCATTAGCTGAGGGGCTCTGGGGATGATGAAGCTCGGAGGAAATGCCGAGATGAGTCTGGTAGTAGCGTTAGACAGTCATGAGACAGATTTCCTGCACCCTAATGATTGAAGTGTTACGGAGTACCGCACAAGTAGCTTTACCCTACTGATGAAGTGTTTAAGGCGTACTGCACAAGCTAGCCAGTTGCTGAAAACACGTAGGTGCGTGCATTTTAACGGAGGAAATCATGCGACTTATCTCACACTGGGCAAGCGACAACGCTCCTGCAGAAGGTGTTTGCGATTTTGGCTCAAGACTTGATTTTTCTTTCCTTTATTTTAATACCTATCCTTCCAACAAGGCTCCCAACAGTACCCCTACACTCTATCTGACTGTCTCCATGCGTTATTTGATTGAGGAATTACAGCAGACAAGAACTTTTGCCAGTGGAAAAGGACACATACCAACTTGAGATTAACAATCATGCCCTTAACGTAACCTGCTAGTTGATAAAAATACAAAGACAGTTAACATACTGCTTTAACGTTTCGCGCTAAGCGCTGGACACATACGAGGAATGCGGTATGAGGGGGAATTACCTTGGAGACTGCCCAACTCTAAAGTCAGATATGCACTTTGCAAACTGGACGACGACCTGGCAATCATCTCTCCCTGCCCGCCTCGAGTATACCCTAACCCTCCAAAATTCTGAAAAGCTTCTCGTACGCAGAACTCGAACGTGACAGTGCACTGAGCTTTCCGCAAGGCAATGGTACACATGTGCAGGGGATGTATCTTCCAGTGCTGTGCATTGAATTGAGTTGAGGCATTAGAGTGTACATATTGGGGTGCCGGGTGATTAATGGTATACTACTCATTTCGAAGTGTTTACAGAGCAGAAATATGGCAGTACCAAAGAAGCGTTGGCGTTGACCAAGCTTAATCCCGCTATTGCAACAGCTATAAAATGGTGAGTTTAAGAATGCAACCACCACTACCATGTTTGATTGGTAAACCCTTCCATGTGAGTGGTATGCATTATATAGGCGTTACGGACAAATTATGATC